GTGTATGTAAACTGACAATTACTATATGTGTATGTAAACTGACAATTGCTACACGTGTATGTAAACTGACAATTACTAAACGTGTCTGTAAACTGACAATTACTATTCGTGTATGTAAACTGACAATTACCATACGTGTATGTAAACTGACAATTATTATACGTGTATGTAAACTAACAATTAGTATAGTGTATGTAAACTGACAATTACTATATGTGTATGTAAACTGACAATTTCTATTCGTGTATGTAAACTGACAGTTACTACACGTGTATATGAACTGACAATTACTATACGTGTATGTAAACTAACAATTAGTATAGTGTACGTAAACGGACAATTACTATATGTGTATGTAAACTGACAATTACTATATGCGTATGTAAACTGACAATTGCTACACGTGTATGTAAACTGACAATTACTAAACGTGTTTGTCAACTGACAATTACTATTCGTGTATGTAAACTGACAATTACTACACGTGTATATGAACTGACAATTACTATACGTGTATGTAAACTAACAATTAGTATAGTGTATGTAAACGGACAATTAATATATGTGTATGTAAACTGACAATTACTATACGTGTATGTAAACTGACAATTACTACACGTGTATTTAAACTAACAATTAGTATAATGTACGCATGGACATTTTCTATCATTTTATAAAATATATGGCGTTCTTTACTCGATACAAAGCGTAAATGAAATAAATGTATAAAAAACGGGTCATGTGATAATGCATAAGCTTGTTACACCAACGTGTATTTGAACTGAATATTTCCCTCTTCATAGTAACTATCTATGCAATCCTGATTGTCAACCACTAAACAGCTTGTAAAGCGATTGTGGACGTTTGTCCCTCCGCCACCTTCGCTTGGATGTTGTTTGTGCCGGAATAAACCAGGATACACATTACGTGTAGCTAAAGCCGGGTTTTTGTTTACATAAACTAAACGTCCATTATGTGGAATCCTGGTCAGATCACGACTTTGAGATCTTAGAATGTAGGAACCGGTAATGGACGAAGTAGCCCATATATCAATATGCCAATGTTTGCTACTTGCACTTAAAATCGACGGTTGTTCAGATGCTGAACAGTTCCGAGGTTTTCGATCCGTCCCAAATTTAATGCCTTTGGACCGTAGTGTGATTCCGGCTTTCTCTAAGGTCCTGAAGTCTTCACACCAAAATTTGATGTCTCCGTCAATCTCCCATGGTATCACCTTATACAATTTCACAGCTCCCAGGTGTGTCCCGGCATTCAATTGGCACGGCACACCTGCTTTCTCACACATCTCCATGACGCCGTTGTTTAAATCTGCCAGTTCCTGAACGCAACATGGTGATCTGACATACCCTTTCCCCTTCTTACATTGGTACGGGTAGTTACATCCAAAATGTATAGTCAGACCCATTGAGAATTTCAATTTGTAAAGATATCGTTTTCTTCCAAATTTCTCCCAGTCCGTGGTTATCTCGCTACGGCGAGGGGAGTCCATATAAAACATTGCATCAGGACAAACAGCAACTTCACCCTCAAGTCTCATAAAAAAGTCTTCATATAATCCCATAGGCGTCAAATTGCCATCAAATTGTACCTGCTTCAATTTGTCGGTTCTGATCAAAAACGGTCCGTCCACGTGATCACAAAATACACAGTCGTGCATGGACTCGTCGTAGCCCTCCTCATATGCTACCGTGTAGTTTCGGAGCACCCTCTGATGACAACCTAAACTCCAAACAGAGTCAGAGTTTCTGATGGACCCTCCTACTGCGGTAACTTGCAGCCTCTCAATTTCCCGTACGAGTCGCTCGATGCGGGAATCAGAATCAAGTGCCGTCATATTTTTAACAACTAAAGTGTATTTGGTTTTCACTCTAGCTATTAACTTGTTTAAAGCTTCCCCCTCTTTGATACTAGACGCCAAGTGTATGACATGTGTACGGTTCTGCTCCTTGATATTACCACCATAGTCCCCGACTACAGCCAAGATATACCCGCCGTAACCATTTGAGAAGAACTTTGTACTATCAGCATGTGAACCATAATCGAGGCGAACAATTGTGACGATTTCCTCAATACGTTTAGAGTAGGAGCAATTTTGGACCCGATATCCATATATATTGTCAACGTAATACTCCGGACACACGCTGTCGGACTTATACTCCTTCCGTTTTGTGACGTTTTCAAAGGAGGTTCCGAATCTTTTCAGTACTCTATCCATATGTTCGCATGCATATCTCAGTGCTTTGCTTGTTTTGGAGCATCTTGCGTGTAACCTTGCTTGTTTTAGATACAGGGCTACATCAATTATTTGCCGTTTAATATCTGACACATCCAAGTGATCTATTGGAGTATCCAATGACGCCGATTTTGTGTAGTTTTTAGAGAAAGCATGATGATTGGTTGAGCGTTGAATGTCTGTCCATATACATGTATATATAACGAGTATTCCGACCATTCCGATTCCGAGATATAGTGCAAAATATTTCTTCATTGTTATCACCTGTAAAACGAAATATAAAATTAATAGATAATATCATCACATAATGTAGCAGAGATCACATTGTCTGTATTTCACCACTGTAGTCGTTTGTCGTTTAGATCAACTATTGATTCAATTGGTTTCACAGAAAGCATCTGTGTCAAAATGTGAATGCTCTGAGTAAAACTAACTACATAGTTTAGTGAAAATTATATATTTTAGCTAGTTAGTGCATCTAGTGAGTGGGAACTGTTCATTATAGACATTCTTTGAAGTAATTAACAGGTAGAAACGTATTTAGAGAAGAGAAGCATGTTTTCACATATTGGGTTGATATGATTTGTTCTATAATGTGCTACCCAATTCGTAAAAAGTGAAAAGAATCATTGTATATTTTAGCTAATTAGTGTATCTTATTAGTGGAAATTATTCACATTAGACCTCCTTTGAATAAGAAATAATGAACAGATAGTAACTTAGGAATTTAAAAAAAAAAATCATGTTTTCACATATTGGGTTGATAGGATTTGTCCTATCATGTGCAACCCAATTCGTGAAAAGTGAAAAAAATAATCTTTGTATTTGTTTTGCTTATTCGGCGATTTAATTAGTTTGGATGCTTCACATAAGAGTTAGCTTGAATAATAAGTAATCTAAACACAGTAATTAATGAATTCAATATAGATTTTTCTGTCTTCACATATCGGCACGCTGCACAGCACAGCTATCAAACAATTTGGTTAAAGCTTGATAAATGTAATGACTACAACTAAAGTGATATATATGATATTTTGTTACAACACGTACCGTTTCAATGAAATCCTTCTGTTCTAAACTGCTTCCTCACTGGCGCTAGTTTTAAGGTGAGCTCCTGGCTAGTTCAACGAGGAAATGGTGTTTACCTTATCAGTGTCAAAGGTTAATCCATTCTCTTTAAATCAGAGCAAAATAAATAATAAAACAACNTAAACTGCTTCTTCACTGGCGCTAGTTTTAAGGTGAGCTCCTGGCTAGTTCAACGAGGAAATGGTTTTTACCTTATCAGTGTCAAAGGTTAATCCATTCTCTTTAAATCAGAGCAAAATCAATAATAAAACAATTTGTTGTTCAGACGTTGGGGGAAGCAATGTAAATATTAGATTAGAAATAACCTCACAAGATAACCTTATCGTCGTGGAATTCAAAATACTTGTATCGGTAGAGTACAAATCCAATATTGATTTGATGTTCAAAAACGCATCCTTTTACCTGTGAAGATTAACCATTTTTGTTACTGTAGATTTTATCATTATTATGTGATGTAGATATTTTTCGCTTTAAAATGTGTATAAATACGCATTTTTAATGAAACATGAAGAAATCAATACATTTCGTAAACAGACATATATTTCATCTCTGTATTACTCACCACATTGCAAGGTTGGCAAGGAACAAGTGTACTTGGACTTGAAGCATTGTCGGCATATGCCAAGATATTTAATCAATTTAAAAAAAAAAGATATCTTCAAAGCCCGTTATCAGAGAAATGTTTTTCTTTATTGCACAGGTAGTCTTAACAAACCATTAATGCTATAAAAGAATTTCGTGCACACGGCGCTTTTCATAGTCCATCAAAACAGTAAGGTAACCAGTACTCCTCTGAATAAGTTCAGAAGTTAAAGGGTTTTTAACGCCCCTCCTCTTCTGTTTCAACAATCGTTTTGACAAATTTGTATTTCCAGCTTTTTGGTCCCTAAAAGGACAAAACATCTGTATGATGCAATGTAATTCATGTATATATTACCAATTTGTAAAGGTACAATCACCTTAGAGTAATATGATATATTTGTAATTCCACCATCACAGTAAGTCCAATCAGGGTCATACGGAAGTTAAAACGGCCAGTCATTGAGGGTCATACGGTGATCTTAATAGCCCGTCAATACACTAAGGTAATTTAGGGTACTTTGTAAGAGATCTGTTATGAACATTTAAGTGTATCATTATCGCGTATATGTATGTACTGTTAAATGAAATTCATGAAATTAAAGACAAAAACGTTTTATGGAGAAGACAGAAAACATCTTTTAAAGACACATAAACCCCTGTTCTCATAAGAATAGTTCATCTGGAATAATTTACAGTGTTAATATGAATTATAATTTCGTTGAGCTTTTCAAACTTGATTCCGATACCATTTATATATACTTCCTTCTATTTAGGCCACTCAAATTTGCTAACTCTAAGATGATTTTCCACAATGCCTCAACATCTAACATTGAGACAATACAGGCTCTAACGGCCATATATCTTTTCTATGCCCTTAAAAAACAGTGAGTGTAGCATGTGACACTAACTTAATTTTTAGAGATCTGTTTAATTGCAACAAATTACAACACTGAAAGTCCTTTCAATATTTTATTACTCTAACAAAATAAAAATTAAACAGATGTAAAAAGATAATTTACCCTTTGAACTTTGCATTTTTACAAATACGAAGAAGCTTATCTTTGACTGATATATTCTGACTATATAAATCAACATAACCATTTATAAAAATATTTCACTCTCCGTATAAAATTCAAAACAATGAAGTCATGATAATATTAATCTGATTCACAATTTGTCAGAAAACTACATACATAATTTTCTTTCGTCAAAAATACGTATATTTACTATTATGCTTAATTCGGGAATTTATCTTGCAACAAAACCTCAAGATTAGCAAAAGTAACAGGGCGATAAATACAATAATGAGGTGATCCTTTTTCCACCGTTGTACAAAAAATGTAATTAATCAAACAAATAACTAGTAATATAAAACATAACATGTATCACACAGCCACGTCGAACAGTCACCATTTTCTCAGCACAATCATGACGTTATAATGGATTGGCAGTAAATCGACGAAACTTTTAAAGGTCATTAATATAAAGAAAATTTGATTCTTTTAAAATGTTGGAGAAAAGCGAGGTGGCATTGAAATAAATGACATTATATTACAAACTTATTGGAGCATTGTATTGAAATTTGATAGAGATAAGTTGATACTTGTAATTGTAATGGAATGTACCATGTTCGTTTTCCTCATTATCATTATCCCAAGGATTGATTCAATATATTTGAATACATGATTATCTTTCCACACCTCGCCGTTTGTCAACCAGTAAAGGCAACAATAAAAGATAATAAAGCCACAATGATCGCATGTATTATGGTGACGTCACTCCTGAAATAGACTGCGGTATCCTGTGGTTACACGAACAGTAACTATAAAGTATAGTCTCATACGAAACCGGTACACGCAGAGATTGTTGATCGACATATACCATCTGTCTCCTTCCAGATTGGCCTCTGCATGAATATATTCATTGACCCAATTTACTCAGTTAAATCAGTTAAATGTAACAGATGTTTCTTGACAATATTGTATAATGCAAAAAACTTTAATTCATAAATGAGTCTATAAGACACCAACCTTATTAGAGACACTATTTATCACATTTATAATTATGACAGTCCAAGACAAAAGAAGCATAAGAATGATGTGATGCGTCCCCGTCGTCAATGATTTTTGTATGGTGTAACTATCAGTTCCTTTTTCAGCTTTTTAGTGCGAAGCAAGCTACACACTACACAGATTAGTACGTTGCTCGTCATCTTAACATGTACGTGCAAGATCTGTAATTGTATCGACCTTCAACATTCTGAAAACATAAAACATACCACTGTACATTCTGAAAACATAGATATCATATATTACACAATGTGGTCGGCTGTTCACTATTTGAAATTTATAATTCGTCATGGTTACTTTTTTTAGGCAAAGAATGATTTTACTGTTCACAAATACAACAGTCAATGAATATTCGAACGGAAATTATAAGAATGATGGAAACATATTAAATAAGTCTAGGCCTATTTGATAAGCAGCTGTAATGCTAATATATTGTCGAACAACTAATATCGTTATTGTGTGTCCAGGCTATTTTATGCCGTTGAATGATATATACTTCGAGGCAAGGTAAAACTTGAAAATTTTTCTTTTAAATAAAGCTTAGCGCGTGATTAGTTAACTGCCAAATGATTTAGAATTGTTCAAAACGTTATGAGATTGAAACGTATTATTGTACTATTTATATGGATTTTAGCCTTTATAACGACAAATCTGACAATAATGCGAAACAAAATCGGTGGAAGCATGTTAGTACTGACGTAACCATTTGATCATAATAATTTTACATACGTATTGAGGCTCTCCGATGTTATGGTCCATAGAGGGACGAGGAAAACGGAACACTGGGTTATCAAACTCCTTCTGTGGTCTATCTTCATCTGCAATAAGATATCAATGATGAACCACACTAGTCTTGCTTTAATAAAAGTCATAGAAAGTAGCAACGTTATTTCGTGACGTTATACTTCGGTTGGTTGCAGGGATAATGTTAATTTCACATCATTCACATCTAATGTCTAACAAACGAAGGACACAATGATATTATTCTTGATATAATCTCATATAAAGAAATAGCGATGGATTGTATTGTAAGTACACATTCAATAGCATCTCTCTCGGAATATCATTTCACAGTGTGTTTAGAAGTGACAGGGATAAACAAGCTAAATCTCATATCAAGAGAGTTAAACACGTTGCTTGTTGTTCATTAATGCTACGACAGATAGAATTGTTTACATAAGCAATCACAGCATTTTATGAAAGGGACATAACTCTAAAGATTTGCTTGTCAGATCCACATTCCTTCAGTCTGTCATTACATAATATATAAAAAATAGTGTGATAACGTTATTCCAGCCAGTGCCGTGTTAAATTTCCTTTTACACAATAGATACGATCAGCTTATTGTATCTTTTTAAATGTTTTTACCTTTAGTATTACCGCTATCGGTGGACTTTGTTTTCATAACCTGTCAAAATAAACATTCAAAAGCAAAAAGAAACATTTGATCAATGTATCGACAAAATGTATCATGTCAAAAACAAAATAATATTTAATAATATTAAATTCTGATCGGAGCGGAATGTCATATTATCAATTGTCTTAGAACTCCCGGAAGTTCATCAACCACTAAAAATTGAGTTCATATTCATTACCTGTAATTTGCTTCCGGTTTTTGAAGACTGTGTTCTGTATTCAAATCGTTTGATTTTTTTCTCTAAAGCTCTTCTGACCTACATAAAATAAATATGTTGCAACCATGTAGATATAAACAGCACGAAAATACTTTATACCGGGAAACGTTCACTGAGTCAAACTTACGCCCTACGCCGGTAAATCCTAATTCGCTAGTGTCAATTTCGTCTTTCAAATATGAGTACTATGCTTATCATATCGTTTACTAATATTTGCTGTAATGAAGAATTCGCCCCCATTACAGAGGGCCAAATGGCAACAGTTAAACAAAAATGAACATTTACAGGTATACAATATTTTGTGTACATTTTATAATTTTTGATCGCAGTTTTAATTGCCCATTTTCTTGGATGTTATCTAAAGGATTTTGATCTCAATGCTAACAGATACTATAATAAGTATGAAAGTCAACCAGTAGAGGTTCGCTGTATCTTTATTTATTTTTTTGAAATAACAAAATGTATGTAAATACAAAATTANAAAAAAAAAAAAAAAAAAAAAAAAAAAAAAAAAAAAAAAACCTCACTGGCACGTTGAAAATACAGTAAAACAGGAATATGAAGAAACCCTGAAAAATGACAAAATAATATGATTAATTATATTTTCTATGACATTTTTATATTGGATTTTGAGAATGTAATTTACTATATCAAAATATTTGCATACCTAGAAGTATGTATATGTTAAATTTGTTTGTTTGTTTAAATCAGAGATGTCTAGTTAGAATAATCACGTTAATCACTTCTCAAGAAATATAACATTTAACTCATTCTCCCCTGAAATTTCATAATGGACTATTCCAACCTTTGAATAACAAGATTTCAAATGTGTCTTTAGGGGTGAATGAGTTAATTCTTCAAAATCATGAAACGAGTGAGAGTCTAAGTATTTCACTGAAGACACACTTTCGGTATGCCCAAAGTCGACACAAAAAAAAAGATAAAATCGTGAACCAATGTAATTTAGCATGCATGCCCTCAAAACCAATGTGAACATTTGCACATGCATAATATGATGACATCACAATCTGATTACATATAAAATGTGTATATATAACAGAAACGCACACCATCATGCTATGATAACAAAAAGAGGGGAGTATAGATAATGGTATCTTGCCTGTAGTGAATTGGTAACAGCAAACAGGTACTGGAATACGATAAGGTCGTCATTAACGGATATAACTCCAAATATCCACGTGACACCCAAAACCGGAAGTAGCACTGTCAAACTCCTAATCCCTGTGCTGTAAAACACAATAGATGACATCTTCAATAAGATTCATCAGTTTGTAAATATGTAAGCTTGACAAAGGGAGCAGTCGGTCTTGAAACGTTGCGACACGGTTAATAGTACATTGTTTGTGTAGAAAGTAAAAATTTGATAGAAGAGATTGCAGAAGAATTTGGAGCTGTTCAAAAATGAAATGTGAAAATGATACATTTTTTCATGTAGTGTGTAATATCACATTTAAGAATGTTGTAAGAAACATGAATATGACGCCATGTTCTAAGTCGAAGGGAAACACGGTGGCGTGTTTTTTGTACTTTATTCTAAATGCTTTTGAAGAAATATGTCTGTTTGAATTATTTTGTGACGCATGTAATAAAAGTTTCTCAAGCGCGTTCCGTTTTTACACACTTTCTTAAACACGCAGAAGGAAGTTTCATAAAAATCGACCCATATGACTTAATCACTTAACGTCATTGCAAGCATGTTTCCTAAAGTTGACTGTTTTATAACATTTTACGTCGTTCTTATTTACACACTGTTCTTGGATATGACGTCATAATGAATCATCCGAGACACGTTATGCTTCATGCTAAATGCTTGGGTCAATTAAAAAATACTCCTGTGATAATTTCATCTGATACACGCTTACTAAAATTAACTAGTCCTTAACATGTTTGATTAAAAATATTCCAAGTCGAAGTGTTTCAAATTATTCATAAATTTGGTTTATGTTTTACGTCCTATTAACAGCTATGGTCATTTAAGGACGTGCCATGTTTTGGTAGTGGAGGAAAGCCGGAGTTCCCGGAGAAATACCCCGATTTCATGTATATCTAAAGTTAATATTTTGTGAAATGAATACACCCGAATTCCGTATGAAACTTAAGAATTAAATATATGTACAAACCAAAAGATCAACATTTAATGAGACAGTTTTTTATATTTCTTTTGAACATGTTATTGTTTAGAAAACAAATGGATTGGACCACAGGCAAGCCTATATAAGTCCTCTCCATATTTTTATATATATTTTGAAAACAATATGGAACAACTCACACAATTTTCTGTTTTTCTGTTTTTGTTGCGATGAACTGTGACGAAAACAGAGCTTTCATTACACAGAAAATGACGATGATATTCACCTGTAAAAATAAGCATATCAATACCAGTGGAAGGGTTATAAGGTTACACGTGCTATCAATATTATTTTTCAAAATTTAATTGCACAAAAATGTTTTTAAAAACAATTAAGCGAAAAAACTTTTTGGTGGTTAAAAAGAACTATTAGATTAAAAACAATACGTATTTCAGAACAATTCTCTTAAAAATGTACACAACGATATTAAAAGTTTGAAAATTATCAGCAATCGTTTGATTGAACTATATAATTGCAAAAGCAATATATAACCCGAAGATATAAAGATCAATAATAATATGCATTCCATTGAGGTGAAATATTGCAATTATTATATAAAAATCAATAAACACTTGTCATTTGTTATTCCATGCGCAAAGTACATCATACTAGCAAGCTACGTCAATTTTGTATTGTTAAGCGAATGGACATTTCCTTATGGCATCTAGCACTCCCAGAAGATTCTGCAGTACTGAATCCCCTTTATGTAAAATTAGATACATTCAATACCTACCAGTATGATACCGACAGCAGGTCCAACAAAGGAATATAAGACGCCGTTTGAAAGTGTAAGCCAGCAGCTGTAACAGTGTGTCCGGTAATGTTTACATTTGTGAAATTTTGAAAACTTTGAAATAAAAAAGGTTTGATTAAAAATAAAACTATATCACTGAAAAGGAAAATTTATAAGAAAAATAAAACTTTTAAACAATATTGAAAATGAATTTTTATAATTGACAATATAATTCTATAGTTGATATTAAACTACTATTATAATATTGACAATAGAAATATATAATTGAAAAGAATGGGCGTGTATCGCTCACCTGTTTCTTATGTTAATTAAATGTAAAATGTTGAAATGTCTCTGTAACATGTTAATTTCTAACCTCCTACAGTAAGGTTTTATATTGAAACGATACATAATAATTTGAAAATTGTCTAAAACCTACGATGGAGAGTAAATGGACTTAATAGAGTGGTTGTCTTTATAAACAGGTGGTCATTATAGACGGGTATGTATGGAATGTAAACGTAATTTGTGGTATCCTAATATTTATAGGCAGGTGTCCTTTACAATAAATTGTGCACTGTACTGATGGGTGGTCGAACGCAGTACATAGTACACTCGGCTGTCAACAAGATGAACTAGGTTCGATTCCCAATCGAAGGAGAAAGTTATTGTGTCACCTGCCAAACAAAAAGGGTTTTCTCTGGAATCTCCGGTTTCTTCCCACATTAAGAGCTCCTCCGTGCTTATATCGGGGATTGAATAATATCACTTAATAAATCAGTTTAATTAAAAGAAAAAGAAAATTGCATTCGTCTTTATGATATTTTTGTAATGTGATTAACAAAACATAAAAAATTAGAGATTTTATCGCCGAATCTTTTAACATTTTTGAGTTCTATGATACACAATACTTCCTAATCAATATTTCTTTTCAAATTTTATCTATAAAAATTACACTTAATCATCTTATAAGTGTCATCTACCATATTATTTGACTGTTTACGTTGAAATTATTATCGTAAAACCTGACAACATCCGTTGTATATATATCCAGAGTTTAAAGTCAAGGACAACACAGACTCATCTATTTCAGCCGTTTTTCTTGATCTTGACTTACAACAGGACCAACAGGGACGACTAAGCTGTACAAAAATCGAGTCGAACTTGAACTTTCCCTTTCTTGATATCAACATCCCTGTTTCCCCTACCTACGATGTTTACATGTCGTAGTTGATTCGGTACTAAAGAGCCTGATCCGAATATCACGACTTCGGTCATGGATGTGGACTGCTGACTGACAAAATTACAACACAGGGCTTCAAAAGATGCAGGTTGATGAAGACTAGGAAAAGTGCTGTAGTCGCCATCAGGATCTCAGAGAGAAATATTCTATTTCTTGGTGTAATATTAAGGCTAATGTTTTTTATCATGCTCATTAAAGTGCCTTGTGGTTTTGTTGTAACTATCCGAGTTCTCCATGCGAGGACGTGACATTACTTTGATTCGAGTTAGATTTACATGGCGGTTGTCATCGATGAATCAGAAGACGGTTATCAGGTTATCCTCCGGAACACCTGGTTTATTCTAATTGTACTTTTGCAAGGGTACCGATGTAAATATTTCCTTTGTTCATATTTTGCCCTAAGAATATCGATTTTGAGTTTGAATTGTGGTTTTGTTGACACTTCGGTATCCTCTTGTTATTTTTTGGTATAGTATATACTTAACTCTTTCAACATAAAACATGCTTACCTCGCTTTAAGTTATGTTTATTTGTCCTATTATATTACCTTTATGGTATAACTGTATTAAAATACTTACTAATCTTTAGAGTGGTATTTGTTGTTATATTGTATTCCGACCGTCACGCCCACTACCACTAAAGGAACACCTGTAAGTTTGATGGTTGAGTAGCACTCAGATACATCAGGCAAACATAGGCCGTGTATGGATATACGAATGAGATATTATTTATTGTTTAAATTTCATTTCATATATAAACAGATACAGCTAACACATGAAATATTAATGAGAAGAATATCAAATTAATAAAAACATAGCATGCATACAAACATTGTTCGACAGAAATAATGTCATTGATAAAGCATTACTACAGAATATCTGCAATATATTTTAAATCAGTATTTTAGTTTCAAGGTCTAAACAGTTGTATGCAATATTCTCTCTTTAATCTGGCTATTCAAACGGAGCTACATAGAAACGGAGGTCATAGAAGAAATATGATCAAAACGATATTCGAGTTAAAAAGTGCTTTCTCTTCTTTATATCTGAGTTTGCAAATACCTGGTCAATGTGTCTACTAACCCCATCCAAGAAGAAGTAACCATCTCAACTTTGACACAGCTTGGTAGACAAATGTCACGGATATGAGAAGTTGAATTCCTTCCGCCAGCATCAAACAAAACGTCGACAGGAAAAAGTAGTGTAGCAATGCGGCTATCACGGTACACAGAGTCTACAATTTAAAATACAATTAAACATTTAATTCAGTTCGGTTTAGATTTTCGCTTTTTCTCATAAAATAATTAAATTCAATACAATCAATCGCTAACACTAGTAAAAAACGTTATCTTCGTTTTAAGAATATAAAAAAAAGTTTTTTAAACTTATCACAGTCGAATATAGCGATTGCAAACACCTCAGGTTTTGGGAAAGCAAATAAAGTAAAAGTTTACTACGTCATTAATGTCTTGTTCAAATGTCAATTTATGTTTTATGTTTCCAGAGAACATGACTGGGGTTGATACGATATGTCTAACACTATATCAAAGAAACGTCTGTATTGAATAGCGACTGTACTTCTTTTTAATCTAAATTTCTTCGTGCACTCTTTGAAAAGATTGCTTCATGAAATTGATACATCTTTTTCTTAAACTTTAATTGTCTGGATAAATTTTTCTTGTATTTTTATAATAATAAACTAATTTTCTTGTCAAGAACATGACCTACTTTTGTTTGATATCATCGGCAATTTATGGTAAAAATAATTATCAAATATTTATCGTAACATGCTCATTAATAATTTGACAATTGATTAACTGACATCTTTAGTTAAATTTCTATAACACTACAAAATATGTTGCACATACTTACATTGTCTTGTGTTTTGTCAATACCCGCAAGAAACAATACATAGGCAATGGTTAGCGCTGCACACAGGTTCAGTAGTAAACGGTTACGGTCACTTTTCAAAAATCTTTAGAAGCAAAAGATTGGTTAAAAAGAAAATATTCACTTTAATACGAAGTGAGGAAGCATCTTTTAGACAACTTATCAAGCGCATAAAGAAATTCCAATAAAGTTAATATTTATTGCAACATATAACGATTGCATCCATTCAGAAGTCATCTAAATATCTAAAGCATGAAATACATAACGAAAGAGTTCTCATAACATATGTAGAAATCCTGAAAAGGGAGAAATGTGCCTAAAAATATAAAGCATCAACTTTAAGCTACAAAATATACTTCATATTTAATACCATTTGTATGTAGTTCGTGCGAGATATAGTGTTATGAGCCTACTCGTTCATAAACATGTAACTGTCAATTGAAAAGTTAACCTAGTAAATCGCTTATATGTGATCACTCCTACAGTAGGTAAAAAATACAAAACAACATGAATATTAAACCATGTAATGAACATCAGCCAACTAACTTTTAATGTTTAGTATTTGTGATTGACTCATTTGAATCTATGCGAAAACAATACTTAAATTATAATTGAAGTAAATTATAATATTTTATGTAGCATATGTACCTCCATAGCTTCAGGTATACCACCATTGTTGTCACTGTGGATAACACAGACAGGATACAGCCCACAAAACTGATTATCCGGAGAACATAGGAATCCTACAAAACCGTCAAAAGAAACATTATTTTAGAACATTAAAAAATGAATGATCAACAACGCGCAGCATATTATCATGAAATTACTTTGAAACACATCGCAATACGTCCGACAATCTTGTGAAACAATTTACGACAATCTATTTAATATTTGCATGTTTCTCAGTTTGTGTGTAAGCTAGGCTCCGTGAATCCCAACACTACCCCGCAGTCGCAATTGAGGCTAATTGAAGTCTCCGGTCTGTTTGTAACCTATATACTAAATTAGATTAGAAATTGAGTTTGTAAACCATATTTGAACCTTTGAAAAAACAAACCTTTACAGTTTGAAAAGAAAGTTTCATCGAATTGCTTTAAAGAAGATGAAATGGTAGTTTGAGATTATATTTATCACCAATAATGTAGAATAACACGCTTCCCAACAAAGTTAAGGATGTACTCTTCTGAGGTTTCAATCACGTTCAAGTCTCGTTTTGATCTGGTGTAATGGGTTTTTGTAATATTTAACAAATTATGATCAAGTTTATAAGCAAACACGCATCTGAAAAATATGTCAAAATACTAGATGCCTGTTGTTTGTAGAACTTTTTTCACAAGAATTTAAAAAAATTACAAATTCCGCGTCGATTTTGAAAATGTGTATTTCTTGCGTTTCAAAAAAGGCCAAAATTTCACCTTTTTTGACACTAGATTGATCACTTAAATTGTCACTGTGTCGCCATTTTTAATTGTAGCAGGTTCAATTTTGCTGTACAACTTTACAATGTTCAATATTATAAAAATAATATGCAACAAATTGGGAAATTTTCCATTATTGATATTTTTTTTACGTAATTAGTGTAACTGAAGCACTTTTGATTTTTGACCCCGAAAAAGATAAAATATAACACAAATGATAATGGGACAAAAAAAGAAGCACCCTGACCCCCCATTTTTGTAGATGTTTTAGAAAGAGAAACACATTTTCATTTAGTTCATTAAATATCAAAAAAAGTTTAATACCAGAATTTTTTATATCAAGCGTTTAATCTGCAAAAAAATGGTAAACAATTACTATATTTTCATGAAAAAAAAGGGGGTAGGGGTATTTTAAATCGGCTTTCTGAGTTAAAAAAAATAAGATTAAGAAATTTAACTTCCATAGTTAAAAAGAAAATAATATTTTCATCAGTTCTATAAACATTCATACATATCTGATAACACACTTGGAAGAAATTGTATGAATTTGTTCTGCAAATGGTCAAAACCCAAAAAATCACCTGAAATCACATGTTGTGTTAAATTGGTATCTTGACCGATCATAGCACAAAAACGAACACACCGACATATAGTTTTTTTGCAATTTCTACTATGCCATTACCTCCTTTTTCAAAAAAAAACATAAAAGAAAAAAAGTTTAATACAGGAAATGTTGGACTTCTCAGAGGTGTACATCCTTAATTAAGTAAAAAAATATTGCTTTTTTGCCTTCAACTGTAAACCCAGGACGTTATCTCATAGGACGTCATCTCATTGTTACTTGTGACGTAACAATGGCTATAAAAGGTTATTTAAAGAATATCGTTTATTTTTGTCAATTCATCATTAAGTAAGATGCACGTAACACGATCACAGGTGATCGCACCTTAAACATTTTGTAATAGATACAGTTTGTCAAAAATAGTTTAAACTGAATCATTCAACTGTTTCGTCTTTCTAGGACCCATCGATGATGCTAGGGCCCATAATCTACTGTTGAAACAGAGGGCCAGGTACGTGAAATAAAATATCAAATATTTGTACATACCGTCACCTCTATAGGACTGATAAGAACGGCGAAGTTTGTCAGATGTGTACACTGACAGGAACTGTTTACCCAGCTACAGCCCTGCGATAACCAGCCCTGTGTTCTGTAAATAGAAAGGTAAATCGAGAACACCTTCCATTAACGTTATTTTTTTACATTTATATCCAAACATCAAATTATAAAGGTTCAGATTTGCTACATAGAAAACTGTTACAATTGAATATAGTTATAACCTTTGAAAAACATGTTATTCTAGTCATAGTCAAGTTGTTGCATGTTACAACAAATTCCACTTAAGGCGTTAGCTTAGCATGCTACAGCATAAAATACCGGGAATGAGATAAGTAAATTTATTTCACTCTAAATCTATTATTAATCATTTGCTGAACGCCGGAAGCTTATCATCGCAATCTAATTTATGTCTTTTTCGGCCGTCCGAAATGAGGGCAAAGTGTTCATAACAGCAAATAATGATAAACAATTTGATAAGCAAATTAGGTAAAAGTATATGACGAAATTAACACTGGGTAATTTTGGAGTTTACTGGCGTAGTCCATCGTTTCGAATATTGTCACCACAATCCGCAATATCCGATGACGCATGAATTGTTTTGATTACATTTCACTTCCGGTTATACATTTATACATTATAGCTCATTGCAATATCTGTACAATCTATGCTATACTTACTCGTTCCAGAATACACATTTCTTCCTTGTGTTGTCCGTCAGGTTATTCTGATAAGAAAGATGGAAGTATTTTACCGCACATATGTTTTACAAATTCTGGTGAATGCTAGAATCTTGACGATATTGATACACACATGCATACGTGTTCAATGTCAACAGTTTGTAGCCTTTGATATGACAAAAAATAGTAAATTAATCGTAGGGGACAACTATGCATTCTATTGCATTTTATAAAGAACGCTTTATATTCGAAAATATAACGTGACAATATTATTGGTTTGAAAACGTGTAATTATTACACAATGGAGCTAAAGACATTATAAACAGGATCTCATTGTAACGGCAGCTATTGCAAAAGTCCCCAAAACTACCCCTCAATCGCAATTGAGGCGAATTGAAGTCACCGGTCTGTTTGTAACCGGATATTTCACCTATATACTTAATAAAATTGAAATTGGTCAATACTTAACTTTCATCCAATCAGAGGCCGAGGCGGCCATCTTAGAAGCGCAGCTGCATAAAGAAAGTTTTTTTTTGCACATACACATGTGGCCACCAATACTCGTTATAGTTTCGTTGAAATACGCCTGGTAGAGTCCGATATAATAAAGGACTTAATAAGCATTGCTGACATGGAACATTTGATATTGGTTCAAATGGAAAATACAATGAACGTAAAAAATACGTACGTTTCTTGCAAGCGTATCGGTGTTAAAGGTCAAAATAACGGGCGTCGTAAGGTTACTCGTGTTTGCACCGAGAAGGGACAGTGACAGGACTTCAGATGTAAAATGATGAACACCATCAGAGCTACAGAATATATATATAAGATCGAATAAATAAGTGCAAATTTTAAATGTTATAAAGCACCTTTTCGGTGCCATTTATCACTGATTTAAGATGTTATCAAAAAAGAAAAATTACAAAACTTTTCATCGAAAATTTATATATGTTATTTCTGCAACTTAGTATTACTAGGTTATGTTTTTCTTAATTTCATAGTTGATTCACCTACTTTTATTTAGAAGTGAGATTCACAGTTTTTTAATAGGCTATTCTTTCTAATTTCAAACTTGATTTACCTATGTTCATTTTGAAGTCAGGTTCCCATTGTCTGACTGGGTCGGTTTTGTTTCTAAATTTCAGATTTATTTACCTGTTTTTATTCTGAAGTAAGGTTCCCATAGTTTTATAGAAGGCAGCGGTAAACGTAACGTTACCTGTAAACAAATGAAAATGGTGTCGATTTAAAGCACCATAGAGTTCTTTTATCAGCAATGAATCAATATTATGTCCTCGTCATAAAAACATCATTCATAGCATAACACTGATTTAAACATTTACAATAAGGTAAGCCTTTCATTCGCGTTAATTGTGATATATACGCAATCGAGATCTAAGAGCTATTTGAGTGGTGTATAGTAATCATGGGTAAAACCTGAATATCTTGGAACAGCCAAATTTGCATTAACAAAATATACTCTCATTATATGGAAATTGAAGAAACTCAAACTTTATAAACTTATTCCCATTTGCGAGTTCCAAATCATGTTTCCGGACCAGCAGAACGTTATTGGTTATGTAATTCAATACATTGCATGAATATTTTAATGAAGCGCGTTTTAGAGAGTCAGATAGAATGGGAATGGGAATGGATAGTCTAGTGGTAGGACGCCGGGCTCCTGACCGAACGGTTGTGGGTTCGAGTCACAACACGTCACTGTGTTATATCTTTGAGCAAGATACTTTACTCCGCTTGTTCCAGTCTACTCAGCTGTAAATAAGTCCGTGGTTGGGCAGTGCTAGAATTGGTGAATGATACCTGTGAGCGCCGAAATGGCAGCACCGGCTGTATGCTCCCCATGGAGTTGAGAAAGGTATTGGCTGATTGCAAAGGCTCTATAACCACGGATATTAATTTGTGAACCGCTTTGAGACGACCTACGAACTAGGTGTGATAAAGCGGTATACAAGAACCTCGTATTATTATCATTATTATTATTTATAAATGGGATATTGGGGTTCCGTTACTGTGCTCAATGAAGCAATAGCACAGCAGTATCTTTTTACCGAATAAAAGAAAACATCGTGAGGTGCATGTATATCTATCAATTGAAATAAAACAGACATTGCTCTTACGTCACAATGAATCATAATCTCGAATTATTATTATTATTATTATTAAGACATTCACACTAACACATGTGATATTTTTGATTTTTTTTTTTTGCGTGAATTCGTGACGTTACAGTTTTATTCATATAGAAAATTATGTATTTAGAAAACCATTAATAAACTGTATAACAGAGTATATGATAAAAAAATACTTACACACCAAGTGACTCAGGCTTAAACATCACATTCACAATCCCGACCTTTTTATGTGATACTCACCGAAACTGTTGCTGGTCAGATTCAACTCTATACCGGATGATGTGTTGTTTGGTTTAAATGCAATTTTGGGCTTTTCTGTTCTCTCAATTTTTATAACTGAAGTATAAAACAGTAAAATCATTGAAATCAAAATACGAAACATAGAAAGAAATAATTTATTTCCTTTTTCCATTTCAAGATCGTTGTAATTACCACTGTACAAAATTACCTCTCCTGTACCTGCTATCGGTTTTATTCCCCCTCCCCAGTCATTGCTTTATTTGTTGTCGATAACTTAATACATGTAGTTTGAAATATCATCGGATAACTTGTCAAAATGTTTATGTTTGCTCAAAACCCATATAAAATAATTGCTAACTTAACAAATATAAATATTATCTAACCATCACTCATTATGATAACATCAAAATAGACCCAAAAAAGCATGTAATCTATGCCTTTTAAGGCGACAAACCCACGACCTCTGGTTTACGCTGACGCTCTACCAAATGAGCCAAAGAAATACTTTTCTAGCCGAATCAGTAGGAAACATCTAGACTTTTGCCAGCGTCACATACACCCCTCCTCCTATCATCCTCTAGGAATGAACGTATCCCGAGATTGCCAAGGGCGATAGCGGGTAATATGAACAAAAATCGCTCAGTTCTTTTGTCAATATTTCCCGGATACATTTCATGGGCGCCAATGCAATTTAGTAATACAAAAAATATCTTGAAATAAATACGTAAAAATACACAATACCATCACCACAAAAAAACGAAAAACCAAAATACGTAATTAAAAAAGCATAGAAAACATCTGTATTGCACCGTATGGCCATTCGTCTATTGAGGGATCAGGAAAACATCAGAAACCAGGGATACATGCAAAAAAACGAGATATCTAGTGGTCCCATTAGAGCACATGATTCAATATTATGTTCTCTGAAAGGTTATCTCCCCCATGACACCCATCTACCTATGTTAAGGATCCCTGTACGTACCTCCTTGATACCCCAGGGGTTACGCTCACTTTCGCTCTCTGCACCCATGGAATAAGTCATGGCAAAATTGAAGGCACGAGGCTAGCTATTTGATTGCTCTCAGGTAAAATAACCTGACCAATCACTATGCTGATAACTGTCCTTTGAAGATTACAGAGGAGCTACACCCGACTTTAAAGCCAGTCAAGTAAACCGTTACGCAACCAAAGAACCAAACTAGTCTTTTCGTCTCATCCAAAAGGTTGCGCACACTGAGTGAACCTTCAAAATTGCTATGCCATATTCTAGGGGTGCAGAGAGCGAAAGTGAGCGTAACTCATGTAGTATCGCGAACGCTGTACATACTGTATAGTCAGGGTTTTTTTGTGAGAGGAGGGGGGGGGACTATCAGAAATATTTATTTACCTATATTGGATTTAACAAGATTTATCGGTTTTCCAGTATCAATGTTTTTCGCGACAGCCGCGCCGAATTTTTCTACTGTTGCTAGCAAACTACCGGCACCTGATGGCGAAGAAGTGATGCTGTTCTACAAACAAAATCAAACAAATAAATTGGTTTGCAATATGCAGATAATGTGCACAAAATTTCCCGATTGATTTCATCTCAATAAAAGTATAAGACATCCACTCTCGTCATCAAAACATAACTCTTTTAGACTGTTTTTTTATCAACATAATATTTTGGAAAATCCGCAAATGAAGCATGCGGTCCTACTATTATTGTTCTTAATTGTTATTTCCGTTTAGTTATCTATAACATTCGACAAAATTATATTTTAAGCTGATCACTGAACTTTTATTTTAATTGTTTTAATTTTTTTTCACTTTTGCTTCTTTAATAATATTTTTTCAATGTGTATGTTGATATGCTCTGTTCTCACTATTAGCACTGAAGATTTTAACATGAGCACAAATGATTTTAACATGAGCACAAAAGATTTTAATATGAGCACAAATGATTTTAACATGAGCACAAATGATTTGAACATGAGCACAAAAAACTAAACATTAGCACTGTAGATTTTTACATTAGCGCAAAGGATTTCAACATTAGCACAAAAGATTTTAACATGATCACTATAGATTTAAACGTTAAGCACAAAAGATTTTAACATTATCACAAAGGAACAAAAGACACCAAGAAGAGTAGATTTCCTTTAACTTTAACTTCAGCTTTCGCGTTACATTATAAGTTGTAGGTCGCTTTTCATTCCTCTTGTGCTTTATTTCTTTGCCCGTTCCTTGTATTCATAATTAATTTTCCTTTTAATGAAATATATACCCCACTGTCTTCGTCATTCACTTGCGTCCATGCGTCTTCGTTTTTCTCTGACAGCATATCATCAATGATTCCTACGAAGTTCTTCCGACAGAAGTAAAGAAAAACATCAATTGATGTAAATATATATAAATGTACTTCAATTATATACAGGTAGAATCTACAGTATCACTTAAATTTATTACAAGTTTTTCTTTCTTTCCTCTGGACTTTGAAAGTATATAGAGATGTGATGAGATTTGTTTTATGTTATAACTTTCCATGTATAATTTTATTGCATGTTCGTTTTGAGTTTTTACACTGATCGCTGTTTTCCCGTTGAAAATGGTTCTGAAATCTATATTCTGTATACGGCTTTAATTTCGCGGGGTCAATATTTCGTATTCAGTACATATTTCGCTGTGCACCCAAATCCCATGTGCCGTGCAAAGTATTTTGACTGTCATCATTTAAGGGTTAAACCTCAAAATATAGGTAAACCGTTTGAAAACACTGATCCCGAGCGTCGTCATCCGCCAGTGACTTCACTCGAAAGAAAATCAAACGTGTATGTACCTTTGTAGGAGTAAACTGTTATCAATTATACTGTGGCTACTTCGCGGATATTTGTCAAAACGCAAATATAGCGAAATTAAACCCCTGCGAAATATAACCGTTATATATCTATAATACATGTAATCTATGAATATATATTCGCGTTCGTATATTTTCACGCTAATTTACCCAACGTTGAAAATGCGAATGTTTCCACACCGCGAAAATTTCCACTTATACAGTATTCGGTTTTTTAAAAAGAAACATACCTCTTGCACATTCTCATCCACAAGAATTTTACTAGTATTGGAGCTGCTAAGGTTGATCATTGTGTTTAAGACAGTAGTCGTTTTCTTAAGATTACCCGAAGATATCGACTTCGAACTGGTGCCCTCTGCAGTAGCTACATTTTTTATACTATCTAACACAACTTTTATCACTTCCTTTTTCTCCTCTTCGGATCGTCCTTTGATATCTTCAAGCTACAAAATTGAATCATACGAAATTGTATATTTGGTCAATTTGTACAATAATGAATAAATGTAATTTTCCAACGAGTCGTGAAAGTTATCAACGACAGACATTTGAAATGTTGGTAGCCTAACCATGCTTTATATACAAAATGTAATAATGTAATTAATAAATTACTTTTAAAGGTTCGGAGAAATCATTTCTAAACTTTCCTTAAATAAATATTATTATACAGTATCATCTTTCAAATCATGGATATAAATCTGAAGAAAAACCGTAATGAATTGATAAAACACGTTAGAGTAAATTACATTGATATTCTATTGTGATAAATTGTTTGCTTGAGTTTAGAACGATGAAGTATGAATATTAAATATGGCCACTGCCAAGGAATGGTATATTCTGATAAGTGAACTAATGTTAAGCATGTTGCTATTACAATGAGATTAGTTTTGAAAACACCACATCACGCTTGAAAAATCAAACGCTACAAAAATACTGAAGAAACGGATAACACTTAGGTATGGCAATATACTTCGTTACAAAGTTCTTTTTGCTGTTGTGAATGTGACTTCAAGCTACTTACCCATCGCCATATTCAATTTGCATTGCTGACTCTAACTTACATATTCATTTTAACTGAAAGCGTGGTAGCATCAAATGACGTCATTGCCGCTGATAATGACGCTTTGGAGGCCAAATAGCATGCATTCAACAACAACGTCAGTATGAACCAATACAGACAATGCTGCATTAAAATACGTTTTTATTTATTTTTGAATTATGATATAAAATTGGCAAGGTACAATTGAATGTGGATTTAACCAAGAACGTTCGAATGCTTGTATATGCATGTTTTAGACATGACAATGAATACTTAGATGACAACAAGTTTGATAACGAAAGAAATTCGTTTCACTATCATGGTCTAAAAACACATCCGAACAGTTCTGAAATGTTTACTTGATACACTGGTGATAAGGACCTAGAATGCCTTTAAAGAAACATTTAAGATACAGGAATACTCAACTATTAAGCTTGCCTGCTGATATTTTAATTCAAAATTTAATTATTGATTATTATGTTGTATTTCAGTCATAGTTCCCTCACATCTTAAAACATGAAACACACATACTGAAAAGCATTGCTGCAAATCACTTTTTTTGAAATCACTTTTTTTTGCGAGATAATATTTTCCCATTCAGATGCAAATTCAAACACCTCCAAAACATTTATCAATGACAAAAATGACGTTGTTGTTTCTATTGATCGCAAAATGAAATATCCCACATATGTATCAATAACAAAATAAGTAATACCTAATTTAAAGGGTTATCGATTTTTACCGGAAATTTCTTGTTACTGACCCATTAAAAGATTGATACGATTCCGTCTGGTTTGCTGGATATACTGACTACATACCTTCTCAGTTGCCTCTTCGAGTTCCTTTCTAACACATTTGATCATATTTGTAATACCCCAGTTCCCATCAGCTTCACAACGACGTGTTGCTATTCCTATAATTATAATCAACAAAGTTTTCGTTATTACAAATTTGAAAGACAAGAAAATTCAATTTTGGCCCCAAAATTACTTAATAGATTTCGTTATTACCTATTTTAAGGTAAACTAAATCGGTGTTAAAGTGACCTTACTAATAAAACAAAAAAATCATGATTTCTTTCTCTCTTTCTTTTCTTAATTAGTGTTAAGATATTTCTGTTGCTGAAACAATGAGGTATCATTTAACTCCAATCCACATTCAATACGTGTTGTTATATGCCTTGATTATTCGAAGTTATTAATAGCTTAAAGCGCCTAAGAGTAATTTTACAAATTATATTGGGCGCTATGTAAATGTTGTATATGATTATGTATTACTATAGCTTACAATTGTATACCTCCTACATGTTGTTAATTCTTCTTTAGATGTGCTTACCGATGTTCGGGGCAGGACATGTCTTTTTCAGAGTGTAACTCGCTGGAGTTTCTTCCCATATAATCCCTTGATTATCCTTCTCTTCATGGCAAACATCGATTGTTGCTAAAAGAAAGTTTAGGAAAACTTAACAAATGTGTATAACATCGTCCAAACAACGAGGATAGAATTAGGCCTTAGCCTCGACATGAAGAAAAAGAATAGGAACTGATGAGCTTTCTATGTAGAACAAATAACGTCATAACCGCCATCTTAGGTAAGCATTAACTGCACCACTCGTACTGAAATAGCCTTTCAATAACACCAACTACATAAAAATGCGGTGAAAAAAATCTTAAATCAATTTAGTCACTAAAATCACAAAACTACAAAACTACAAAGAAAAAAAACAAAAGAAGAAAATGCTGACTAAGTAGCTTATCGATCAAATGGACGCATAATTAATTAAATCAAATGAAGAAGAGACTCTAGAGAGTGAAACAACACTAATATTTTAATACTAATGAAGGCCAAGGTTCTGTTCATAATCTTTAAATTGTAATCATCCTTCTTTTCTGCTTTTTCTCCAATGAGAAGACAAATATTTCTTTACTTCGGAGAAGTTATGGAGAGAAGAAAGGGGTGATTTTAGTTCCATGACCTAAAGGATTAGTTTGATTTCAGTAGTTTTTGCAGAGATTGTAGGATTCGTGAATGAAACATTAGTTTATTAACATATTTGCAGTATCGGCTAGTAATGGAACTCATCCAAATTCAATCGTTTCAATCAATTCCGATCGTTAGATTATAATAGAGGAATTCCAGCCATGTGGTCAGGAATATTTTTTTCTACAAACGTAATATCCTCATCTCCGAACAAGAAGTTAACAAATTGAAAAAGAAATTAAAATTAGTTTAGTAATTAAACCATACCAATATAAATATTTCCTAGTTGAAATTTACAACTGAAATGTACATTTATCAATGTGTCAATGAGGCCAAGTATTGCAAGGAAACCAGGGTTGTCAAATGTTAAATGATGTCGCCGTTATGGCATTATTATTCAGACCAAACTAAGGCAAAAAAGCAAAGTGTAAGTTTAGCAAGTTTGCCTAGAGAAAGTGACACACTAACACAATATCAATTTATCGACTAACAGACGGATACAGGACCAGATGTCAGTAAGCAACACAATGCATTACCGGAGGTAACCATTTCGTATAGAAATTGGTAAAAAGCAATCAAAACTTATCGGCCCTTGCATGGGTATTATTTCTGTGTAGTTCTGTGATGATGAAACGCAACACTAATTAAACGTCTTCACAAAGGGATGGGCGGACAGACGAACGGACGGTCTGTGTTTGCAAAGTAAATGAAACATTACCATGACGTCATAAATACTCACCACATTGTGTCGTCTTTAACTTTTTAAGTTGGTTATATGTGAAAATTGATTATATCGCCCGAACGGCATCAATGACCTACCTGTATTCGTGCTCTAGCAACCTGATAGTCCTCTATGCCTTTTGAATTACTTACAATAACAACCTAACACATGCATGTTCATATGACCCCGAAATAAACATACATCGTGTGTCATCATCATTGCAACGGAATCACTGATGAGGGAATGGGGACGTGATCTGATATGATCATGTGATAAGTGTCTGCTGCAGAAAAACTAAAAAGACAACTAAAGAATTGCGTGAATAAATAAGCTTCACCAAATGAAATTATACAAACACAAGCAATATTCATAATTTATCAAGGTTCCAAATGAGCATAGGGTCCAACATTTTAAAATTTAAATAAAAAAACACTTTGTTGTAAGACCTGTCATCGATTATATTTTTTTACATTATAATCACACATATGGTCCTTGTATATGATGCAATTAGGTCTTAAATATTCAAAGGCAACCTGCCGGTCTGTGTTCAAATGGTCTAATTCAAAAATGCAATAAGCATGAAGTTATTAATCCTTTCTGCATCAGAGATATCAAATCATCATATTTACATGATACATCTCATGCCATTATGGCCTCAGGATATTAAATCACCAGCGTCAGTGGTATAACGTCATTATTTCATCAGTGATATTACGTCATTATTTATCAGTGTTATTACGTCATTATTTCATCAGTGATATTAAGTCAGTATAGCCATAGTGATATTACGTCAGTAATATTTCGTCAATAAATATTATGAATGACCATTATTGAATTAGTGATATTACGTCATTATTGCATAAGTAATATTACGTTATTATTGCATGAGTGATTTTACGTCCTTACTGTATTAGTGATATTACGTCATTACTACATCAGTGATATAACGTCATTACAGCCTCGGTGATATAACGTCATTGCATCAGTGATATTACGTCATTACTACATCGGTGATATTACGTCATTACAGCCCTGGTGATATTACGTCATTAATCACATTACGACAATAGTTTTACATCATTTATATTGCATCAACATTATTACATCAATTTTATCCATATATTGCATTAGTGTTATTACGTCATTATTGCATCGCTGATATTACGTAATTTTTATATTTATGACATTTAGTCATTATTTCAATAGTTACATTACAAAATATCAAAACATTGCATTAGTGATATTCATATACAAAATAAATATATTTCATCAATTAATTAATTAAGGTCAAAATTATCATCCATAAACAATGTTTCTTGCTTTGGAATTATTTTATAAGAAAGAACGTAAAGCAGAACATATCGTTGATTTATTGCATTTAATTCATTAAATCATATGGCAATTAAACGTTACGTCCATGACAAATAAATCTACGTACCTGCTTTACTATAGACATGTATGCTGCTGGTTTGATTCAAACACTTATATGGACTTGTTCGGCACAATCGACATTGGTAATCCCCATTGTCGGAGGTTTTAACGCTCGAAATGGACAATAGTGACCCTGACACTGTGTGTGATGTCTCTGAAAAACAACACACAATCACAAATCAATCTCGATATCATCACCAGGTGTATTGGTCCGAAAGGAAACTAACGTCGCCTATTAAATTAATTCTATTCATATTTGTTTTAACGTGATATGTTCATCCAAATTTAAAACTCAAATACTTTTCTACCTCATCATTTTATTTTTCACTTATTTTTATATATATATATTATTGAGCTTATTATGTCATTATACCGGTGCACCTATTAATGATTACAATGCTTTTGTATTCGACGATTGCAAGATCCTCTACTGATCCGTCAGAGATATTTGGGGACGCTAAGCATTTAATGTACTACATTCTTTCAAAGTATCCTCAAAATCAAAAGAGTTTAAATTCTGTCGGTATGTTTTAATTTTTTTATTTCCCATACTCAACGTTACAAAGAGTAAGATTATAGATCTTACTGGACTATCACAAGATGAGTAAAGATGAAATAACATTACCTGTCATTTTTTTAGAGTTTTCAAGGTACCAGTTGAATTTCCATTCAGTCATGTTGATTTCGGCCGCGTTGCTAATGTTACAAACCATGCTGACCTTTTGACCTTCCTCTAATGCGTGAGAAAGAGGAGAAATGGTCAAAATCGGTAAAGGCCGAACCGTCACACTAAACGTTATGTTTAGATCACCAAGACCGCAAATAATGTTTCCTGTAAGCAAAATAACTCTTTATTACCACATTTTGTTTGAAACACAGTTATTTGGAGATAACGTGTCACCAATGGTTATACACAATAATGAATTAAGAAAGCAATATACATTACATTAAAAGGTTGTTTTTTCTTCATGAGATGTTTCCCTCTATCTTTACTAACTACATTATCAACAGGAACAGCTTACTACTAAGCTGTACGAAGGGCGGGTCGATTTAAATTTTTCCTATCGTGACCTTTCCCGTTCTTTATAGTAACATCCCTACTTCCCCCACCAACTGTGTCTACATGTCACAATTAATTCGGTATTCAAGAGTTTGCTCTAAATATCATGATCTGTTATAGATATTGACTGCTGAAAGACAAACTTATAACAGAGGGTTTCAAGAGATGCAGGCTGATGATGAACATTGTTTGTTTTTTTTTTTATCAATTTCCAGTTATCTCATTAGGAAATATTTTATTTTCATTTATGACATGAATGTCAATGTTTTTTATTATGCTCATTAGTACTGTGCTTTGTTGTTACGTTGTCAGCACTCCAGTTCTAGCTTTGAAGACGAGATTTAAATTTGCAAGGCAAGTGTCATCGATTAATAAAAGACGCTTACCTTTCTGGAAACCGGGTCTTATTCTCCTTCTACTTTTTCAATATTTTAATGCAATTATTTCCTTTGATCATAGTTTTGCCTTTGTTTTATCGTTCAGTTGACGGTTTTGTTGACTCTATACAATTTTTATTGTTTTTATCACACGTTAATATCAATGAAAATAATTATTTTTGAATTACTCTTAATATCATTTAGTAATTGTAATTGAGTCACTGTTGCAGATTACTTATAAATGTTTCTTGTTGACTCAAGCGTTTTACCTTCGTCTCTTAGGTACAAAGGATGAATATCCATCCTCGACTGTTTCCCGATACCATCGTCATTGTGTGTGATCGTGATCTTTGAGCTGTTTATATTACTGACATAGTTTCCTATTCTCCATTTAATATCGCCGCAGCTTCCTTGTGTGTTAAACTTACAGGTCAATGTCAGAGTACTCCCTTCCTCTTGTGACACATTTTGTCGCAATTCTGTCGTATTAGCTGTGCAACCTGAAAATCGAAATAAATCAAATTGATCTTCAATAAGATTCATCAGTACTGAAATATGTGAAAAAGTATGTAGCTTTTACTTTCTACATAAACAATGTCCGTTTCTAAACTGTACAACCTGAAACATGAAATAAATGAAATGAGTCGTCAGTAAGATTCATTAGTATGGAAATATGTAATATTAAAGTTTTACTTTGTACACAAACAATGTACGTATTAACAGTGTCTCAACGTTTCAAGTCCGTCTGATCCCTTTGTCAAGATATGACTTAGTGAGCGATTTATATTGTTTACCTGTACAGCAATGTGACGAAATTGCATATTTCATAAGTCACTTGACCTGGGACGTTTTGCCTAGCGATAGAGAGTGTAAACACACTGAATCGAATAGGTTACGAGTCGAGTGACATATGAAATATACCGTTTACTTTGGACATACTTTTTGAATAAAGTGTTCAATGTTATATGGTAATAAAAATTTGACTGAAAACAGGTATGGACCTGTTCACCTGCACACTGCTTCGAACGATAAATGTGTTTCTTATTTATCTCCAGGGCCAAGTTCATTTACAGGTTCATATCGTACACAGTGTCCAATATAGTATACGCTATAGTTTGCTTTTCGTGACAACAAGATATTTGAAAGGCATGTATCTTTTAAATCGATATGTATGAATCTTTTCCGCTCTGCACGATCTGGTTGTAGAGAGCAACACTCCTGTCAAACAGATTTAATAAAAACCGACTCTGTGTAAGTCGAGTCTTCACAGATAAATAATTTCTATCGATCTAAATGATATTTTTGCAGAAACAATCGTGTTTATTGTTCATCAACCATCTTACAAATAACAGAAACTAAATCAGTACAGATACAGATAGATCATATAAATGCTACTGTCTACTTCCTCCATCATGTTCCCGTTCTAAGAAGAGAATTTAATTCTGCACGTACCTTGTGTGGTGCTTTCCAGGGCTTGTGTTGTAAAATCCGTCGATGTCTCAGATAAGGAGGTCGTTCGGAAGTTAGTTGTTGTGGGTGTTGTTGGTGGTGTTGTTGTTGTGGGTTTTGTTGTTGTGGTTGTTGTTGTTGTGGGAGTTGTTGAAGTGGGTGTTTTTGGAGTGGGTGTTGTAATATTGGATGTTTTTGTTGCTGCGGGTGGTGTTGTTTTGGGTGTTGTTGGGGGTGTTGTTGTTGTGGGTGTTGTTGAAGTGGGTGTTGTTGATGTGGGTGTTGTTGTTGTGGGTGTTGTTGAAGTGTGTGTTTTTGGAGTGGGTGTTGTAATATTGGATGTTTTTGTTGTTGCGGGTGGTGTTGTTGAGGGTGTTGTTGTTGTGGGTGTTGGTGGTGGTGGTGTTGTAGTGGGTGTTGTTGTTGTGGGTGTTGTTGTTGGGGGTGTTGTTGTTGTGGGTGTTGTTGAAGTGGGTGTTGTTGATGTGGGTGTTGTTGTTGTGGGTGTTGTTGAAGTGGGTGTTGTAATATTGGATGTTTCTGTTGTTGCGGGTGGTGTTGTTGAGGGTGTTGTTGTTGTGGGTGTTGTTGAAGTGGGTGTTTTTGGAGTGGGTGTTGTAATATTGGATGTTTTTGTTGTACTGGGTGTTGTTGTTGTGGGTGTTGTTGAAGTGGATGTTGTTGGAGTGGGTGTTGTTGGAGTGGGTGTTGTAGTGGGTGTTGTTGTTGTGGGTGTTGTTGTTGTGGGTGTTTTTGGTGGTGGTGTTTTAGTGGGTGTTGTTGTTGTAGGTGTTGTTGTTGTGGGTGTTGTTGAAGTGGATGTTGTTGTGGTGGGTGTTGTTGTTGTGGGTTTTGTTGTTGTGGGTATTGTTGAAGTGGGTGTTATTGTAGTGGGTGTTGTTGTTGTGGGTGTTGTTGTTGGGGGTGTTGTTGTAGTTGGTGTTGTTGTTGTGGGTGTTGTTGTAGTGCGTGTTGTTGAAGTGGGTGTTATTGTAGTGGGTGTTGTTGTAGTGGGTGCTGTTGTAGTGGGTGTTGTTTTAGTGGGTGTTGTTATTGTGGGTGTTTTTGTTTTTGTTGTTGTGTGTGTTGTTGTTGTGGGTTTTGTTGAAGTGGGTGTTGTTGTTGAGGGTGTTGTTGTTGTGGGTGTTGTTGAAGTGGGTGTTTTTGGAGTGGGTGTTGTAATATTGGATGTTTTTGTTGTTGCGGGTGGTGTTGTTGTGGGTGTTGTTGAAGTGGATGATGTTGGAGTGGGTGTTGTTGGAGTGGGTGTTGTTGTTGTGGGTGTTGTTGTAGTGGGTGTTGTTGTTGTGGGTGTTGTTGTTGGTGTTGTTTTAGTGGGTGTTGTTGTTGTGGGTGTTGTTGGAGTGGGTCTTGTAGTGGGTGTTGTCGGAGTGGGTGTTGTTGTAGGGGGTGTTGTTGTGGGTGTTGTTGGAGTGGGTGTTGTTGTTGTGGGTGTTGTTGTTGTGGGTGTTTTTGGTGGTGGTGTTTTAGTGGGTGTTGTTGTTGTAGGTGTTGTTGAAGTGGATGTTGTTGTAGTGGGTGTTGTTGTTGTGGGTTTTGTTGTTGTGGGTATTGTTGAAGTGGGTGTTATTGTAGTGGGTGTTGTTGTTATGGTTGTTGTTTTAGTAGGTGTTGTTGTAATTGGTGTTGTTGTTGTGGGTGTTGTTGTAGTGCGTGTTGTTGAAGTGGGTGTTATTGTAGTGGGTGTTGTTGTAGTGGGTGCTGTTGTAGTGGGTGTTGTTTTAGTGGGTGTTGTTATTGTGGGTGTTTTTGTTTTTGTTGCTGAGGATGTTGTTGTTGTGGGTGTTATTGTAGTGGGTGTTGTTGTTGTGGGTGTTGTTGAAGTGGGTGTTGTTGTAGTGGGTGTTGTTGAAGTTGGTGTTGTTTCAGTGGGTGTTGTTGTGGTGGGTGTTGTTTTTGTGGGTGTTGTTGGAGTGGGTGTTGTTGGAGTTGGTTTTGTTGTTGTGGATGTTGTTGTTGTGGGTGTTATTGTAGTGGGTAATGTTGTGGGTGTTGTTGAAGTGGGTGTTGTTGTAGTTGGTGTTGTTGTTGTAGGTGTCGTTGAAGTGGGTTTTGTTGTTGTGGGTGTTGTTGAAGTTGGTGTTGTTCGAGTGGGTGTTGTTATTGTTGGTGTTGTTGTGTTGGGTGTTGTTGGAGTGGGTGTTGTTGTAGGTGTCGTTGAAGTGGGTTTTGTTGTTGTGGGTGTTGTTGTTGTGGGTGTTGTTGAAGCGGATGTTGTTGTGGGTGTTGTTGTTGTAGGTGATGTTGTTGTGGGTGTTGTTGTTTTGGGTGTTGTTGAAGTGGATGTTGTTGTGGTGGGTTTTGTTGTTGTGGGTGTTGTTATAGTAGGTGTTGGTGTTGAGGGTATTGTTGTTGGGGGTGTATTTGTAGTGGGGGTTGTTGTTGTTGGTATTGATGTGGGTGTTGGTGTAGTGGATGTTGTTGTAGTGGGTGTTGTTGTTCTGGGTATTGTTGTGGTTGGTGTTGTTGTTGCCGGTGTTGTGGTAGTGGGTGTTGGTGTCGTAGTGGGTGTTGTTGTAGTGGGGGTTGTTGTTGTTGGTGTTGATGTGGGTGTTGGTGTAGTGGGTGTTGTTGTTCTGGGTATTGCTGTGGTTGGTGTTGTTGTTGCCGGTGTTGTGGTAGTGGGTGTTGGTGTCGTAGTTGGTGTTGTTGAGGGAGATGTTTTAATGGGTGTTGTTGTTGAGGGTATTGTTGTAATGGGAGATGTTGTGGTAGGTGTTGTTGTCGTTGTTAAATTTGTTGGTGTTGTTGAAGTTAGTGTCGTTGTTGGTGTAGTGGTAAGTGGTGCTGTGATGGGTGTTGTTGTTGTTGTGTTTGTTTTTGTTGTCCTGGATAGAATAAGTGGTGTTGTTGAAGCTGTAGTAGTGAAAACGGTTTTATTTAACTCTATGAAGAAAAAGGTCACCAATAGCAAATGACGCATGGTTGCTGTTGTCTTCTGTTGGCGTGCTGAAGATGACCTAAACGAGAGGTTACAATATCAATTATTTAAACTAACCCTTTCTTATATAATAGGATGTTTTTGCTGAACTGTAAAGAAGCATGGTAAATGTCCATACCGTCATAATTGGTCACCCGCTTAAATAAATAAGAGGGTCAACTTGGTGTCTGTCTGTCCCTCTGCCCGTCCGGTCGTCCCTCTGTTAGATTTTTTTCTCTCTTCATTAAAGCTCATTGTATAACGTGTGGATCATACAGAGAGGCTTCACTTGTATCACATTCATCATCCTTGTCCAAACATATACGTCCAGTGGTCAATAACACCCCAAGGTTCTACTGTTTTCCCAAAGGTCACACAAAGTGTGTTCCTAATTATTACAATTCCAGGGCAATAAATCATTTTTATGAAACTTTAAAAAATGCATTAAATACTTACTGCTAATTATGCCCATTGGCATTGATCAGCTTAAAAGTGTTGTTAGGAATACAAACTAACAAAACGCCTATTCAAAAATGTATGAAATTGATGCGAAAAGTTTAAACAAATGTCCGTTTTCTTAGAATACATCCGTGGTATTTCAAGTTAATCGAAGAAGAAGAAGAAGAAGAAGAAGAAGAAGAAGAAGAAGAAGAAGAAGAAGAAGAAGAAGAAGAAGAAGAAGTAGAAGAAGAAGAAGAAGAAGTAGAAGAAGAAGAAGAAGAAGAAGAAGAAGTAGAAGAAGAAAAAGGAGAAATAAGCTTTTTGCTATGTTCCTAATTGTATGTGAGAATACGGCTGGTAAAACGAAATCATTGAAAGGGGTGAGAGTGGGCCGTCACACCGATTTAATGAGGTTAGAAAGCGAGGCAATTTTAAAAATAGTATGATTAAAATAGTCGTAAATATGTTTTTCGGTCATAACACCTACCTTTTTAAATGAAATCCTGCTTCTTTTCCAAATTGCTTCCAACAGGCGCTAATGAATTCCCATTTAGTTTAACAAGGACGTCATTTTACTTTACCAGTCCTCTTCTCTTTAAATCAGTGCAAAATCAATAACACTAGCTGTCTGTTGTTCAGATATTGTGGGAAGCAATGTGAACTTAAGATTAGAAATAACCTTGATAACCTTATCGTCGCGGATTCCTAATACCCGCGGAGTACAAATATTTTATTGATTTTATGTTCAACAGTGTGTCCCGTTCTACCAGAAAAGATAAACAAAGTTGATAAAAACTAGGGGACCCTAAAGTACGTAATGTATAGCTTGGAGGAGGTTTTTTTATAGTCATTGTATGTATTGTACGTTATTTTGTCGATAAATGCGGTGGGGGATCAATATATTTTATATCTGTCAAGCTTGATTTTGGCCACACGGATCAGAGAATATAGTTACACCTAAACGGGTGGGATGTTTTCAGGGTTATATTGGACATTTAGGGGTTTAGATCAACTTTCGGTAAAAATCCTATCTTGTAGAATACCATCATGGGAGGGGGCATTTACTTAAAAGGGTTATCTGAACCCTTGAACAAATCAGTTTAGGTCCAAGATCCAAACATAGATAAATTGTAACAAAGTATCATGTCCCTGTGATTTCGGAATTACATGACACATTTCAAAGTTGGCAAGGAGCAAGTGTACATCAAACAGAGGCATTGTCGGATTTTAGACATTGACGGCATTTTTCAGGAGGTTTAAAAATTAAATGAGGACAGAAATGTAAACAGAGTATGTTGATCGATGTAATGGAGATACGCATGCTCCTGCTGTTTCTCTAGTTGAAGATGCGGTTGCCATGGTTACTACTATTACGGAAGTCTTACGTCAACACAGTGAGATGTGGTCACACGGAAGTATTATATTACGTCAACACAGAAAGATCATTCATGGTCACACGACAGTTTTAACATAACGTCAACACAATCAAATCAATCATGGTAATTTTGTATCACACGGTAGTTTTTACAGCCCATCAACAATACAATAAGGTTATTCAGGGATTAACGACAGAAACTCGACAGACACAGAATTTTACAAAGTGTAGAAATTATGCAAGGAAAAAAACCTCCCAACTCCTTCCCCGGCCCCCGATTCCGAGGGGCACTACAGACTTTAATAGTCACTCAATACGATCATGCAGTGGGGTTCGATCCTCGAACCTCGACATGGTTGTTGAAATACTTTAAAATCCGTGGTTTATAAACTTTGACCATGCCTCGGTGAATAGTGAATACCATCATCTACAACTGTAACCCATTATATTTCCTTTCATAGAATAGCAGCCTGAAATATGAAATGTACATTTGTATATGTTACAGCGGGCACTCTCAGCCGATTGTGATCGGCTGAGCAGTGCGGGCCTTTTATGGAAAAGTACGCCGGGAAATTAGAGTGAGTTGAAATTTCCGTTCTTATGGTCGTACAGGACCGCAAAAATCGGCAACGTGCATTTCTCCGTGACTGCATCCAATATAATGTGCTCTTTTTGTACAAACAATTAGTTCTGATTTTTTTTTTTTTTATAAATATCTGGTATTTTTTACGCATCTCCGGCAGAAGATTTGTATGGCCAGTAGCAACCATTAAACTGTATGCAAGTTGGGTGGTCGGGTGGCGCAGTGGATAGCGCACTTGCCTTTCACCAAGGCTACCGGGGTTCGATTTCCCGATCGGACGTGAAAAGGTATTGGGTCACCTGCCTGACCACATTGGTTTTCTCCGTGTACTCCGGTTTCCCCCCACATTATGACCACCGCGCGCTAACATCCGGGCCAACAAGAGTGATTTATATAAGTTGAAATAACTTGTTTCATAATTGTTGTAAAATAAAAAAAAAATACATATGCAAGTTGATATATTGAAAAATCCTCCCATATATTCTTTATAAATTTGGACATTAGGTAATGTGACTACACGGTGAAGGAGAAGAGGATGTGGAGGAACCAGCTTAGATATATGTACGACCCCCTTCATACTGACCCAAACTACAGAGTTGTAAGTAACATCCGACTGATTGAAAAATTAGTGTTCTTTGAAAAATGGAATAGAGTTCTAGAACTTAAAGACACACAAAAAAACCATGAACATTAAGTGTTTGTTAAGAGTTTTGCATCATTGCAAAAGTAAGAAAAGAAAGAAGAAAGAAAAAAATAGATATATGTCCAAAATATCTCAATAGGGACAGTACATCAATCTTTGTTATTTAAATATCCATATGCTAGGCGCTTTTAAAACAATGAACAGAAGCAGATCCATTGCGGAAGGGTAAATGTAAATTTTATTTATTCAAAAACAATAATGAAACAAATTTAAAACTTATATTAATCACTAATGTTTGCCCGGCTGTTGGCGCACGAGGGGTCTTAATGTGGGACGAAACCGGAGTACCCGGAGAACACCCATGTGGTCAGGCAGGTGACCCCATACCTTTCCACGTCCGATCGGGGAATCGAACCCCGGTCGCCTTGATGAAAGGCAAGTGCGCTATACACTCCCCCTACCCCGACCACCAATAGTATTTTCATATTATTTGTGCCCGCGGTTTGGCCACACTTATTTCATATTGTGGAGCAGTTTCTTATTACACTACATTTGTATGTCATTTATTTTTCTACTTCCATTTAAAAATGCAGATAAACGGATCTGGGTCGTTTCGCCCTAAATCCCGTTCGCCCAATGTTGTTTCGCCCTAATATAGATATATATTTTAAGTTATAAATAACAGTTGAAATGGTTTTAATATTAAAAAATATTTGGTCTTTTTTCACGCTTCACCAACAATTGTGCTGTCGGGAAATTCCATGCTGGTGTACATTGTATGTGCAAATCTTATTATAAATCTGGTTAACTACGTACGAATGACTAAAAAGGTTAAGGGAGACTTAGGAAAACTTCAGATGAGGCTGTATTAGCTATACACAACTAAACAGGACTAAAAAGTTTCACCCTTAGTGCGAAACAACCCAGGGCGAACGGGATTTAGGGCGAAACGACCCGACACCATCAAAACAGACCCATTAATGCCTTTTGGTTTTGTTCACACGAATTACGCCCCTTGACGGGAGTTCTTCATTAAAAATTAATAACAACACGTGTTTTTCCTGTAGAATACATTCATAAGTCAATCATGGTATTACAACGTATCGTGTAAGTATTTTCAGCTTGCTATTTAATCAAACAAACAACTGTAAAGACAGCCTACTATTGAGAGTTCACTGGATGAGTTTAAATGAAGGAATGTGTTAAAATATTGCGGTGAAATGTACCGTACTGGGCTGTTTATGTAGCATGGTAATATCGGCCCGTTATCTGTTAAATTACGTGCACTGAATGCTGTTTGGAGTGATATTAAAGGAAGGAGAAGCGAATTGATTTAAAACAACACTATACAATATTACCAAACAAATCTTCTTCTCTCTCATCGAGTGTAAGTCCGCTAAATCTGACCATAATCGCAGGCTCCAACATTCTGATCAGTCGTCTATTTATACAGGTCCAGTACACTCTGCCGATTGAGCTATATAGCTATAAAGACCTATATAGCTATATTCACCTATAAATTATAGCTGTATTGAGCTATATTTTCTCAAATTTCAATTTTTATTAGATTAAAGCAAAGTCGCATAAAACAATAAGGTTTATGGAAATCATTAATGTTGAGTACAAAAAGCCTACATTTAGATGTTTATTTTCATTTTTCATCAATGTTAAATTTTCGAGTTTTTTACATCATTATTTTAAAAAAAGAATACTTATATTTAATGTCTTTGTTATCAACCTTATGATACAATCTTCTTTTAAAAGCGACTTTGTTTCGTTTTCCTTAAAAAAGATAATCACATGAAAATAGCTCAAAATACCTATATCATATAGGTCAATAGAGCTAATATAGGTCTTTACAGCTATATAGCTCAATCGGCAGAGTGTACTGGACCTGTTATCAACAGGCCCGAGTGATGACTGATATACATGTATGATCTTTTAAAAGCAAAGTTAAAAAGGTCTCAGTTTATCTTCTAAATTCCGTTTATGTTTTGGTTGAGCTCTGTCAGTGATATTTAGTTGTCAATAGTTTCTGCTTTTCATCAAAAGTAGTGATTCATAATAAAGTTGCTTTTATTTTGGAACATCAGGATTTCAGTAGAGAAAATTCTGAGATAGTGAGTTGTCAGTTTTTACGCAATTTTGGTCTCTGTGGAGTATAACATATAGATAGTTAGATTTGTCATCAGTTTCTGCGAAGACAGTTACCTGTCATTTGTTTATTAAACAGACAAATAGAGATGTTATTATTTTCTGTCGATGATGTCTTGTCTTGTTCTGGTGTTTTCCCCTCCTTTCTATTTAGGAGCTGTCAATGAAGGATAATACAATTTGTTGTCAAATGAATCCATGGATAAGCAAGACAATTGTTTCTGTAAAAGATGGTATATACCAGATATATATACATAGGATATAGGAGGCACGGCAGTCTAGTGGTAGGACGCCGGGCTGGTAACCGAAGGGTTGCGAGTTCGACTCTCGTCATGGCACTGTGTTGTATCTTTGAGCAAGATACTTTACTCCGCTTGTTCCAGTATACTCAGCTGTAAATGAGTATGTGGTTAGGTAGTGCTAGAATTGTAGAATGCTAACTGTTAGCGACGAAATGGCATCACCCGCTGTATGCTCCCCAGCGAGTTGAGAAAGATATTGACTGGTTACAAAGGCCCTATAACCACGGATAATAATTTGTGAACCGCTTTGAGATGACCTACAAACTACTAGGTTGTGATGAGGCGGTATATAAGAACCTCAAATTATTATTATTATTATTATACATCAAGTCTGTCAGACATGGCCTGATATTTGGCTCCACAACCATGACTGGTTTGGAACATTGTTTCCACCAATTTAGAGAAATTTGATGCATTAAAACATGACTTTAATAATGGTTTACCTTTATGAAGTCTACTGAAAGATTACTAGCATTAGATTAGAAATACAAGCACTGTGACCAGTTGTAAATAATAGATGAATAGAAGGTGGAACATATGTATCGCAGCATATCATCCTTATGCTGAAGATCCTGAAAATAAAAGGAAATGTAAAATAAATTACAAAATATATCTAAAGAGCTCAGCACCCAGCCAGAAATAGTGATTAAGATGCATTTGATATAAGTGATTCCTTCTTTGATTTCACTAGACTAAATTGCTATTTCATTTTGTGTTGTTGTTATTTATTTAAAAGAATTCTGTACTTGCAGGAAACCCAAAACCCAAAAGGGTAAGCGGTTCTTAGAGGGGAGAGAACCCAAAGTTATAGAAAGCACGAAGTCAGCCATCTTCGTAAAGGGAGGAAACACTAGTATAACTGTCACTGAAGCCTTGAAAGAATTGGTAAGAAAATTTATTTAAATATGCTTTTTTCAGAACTTCAGTAGAAGTTGGGATACATTGTTTATAATACTAGTACATGTATATGATAGAAAAGAACACGTTTATTTGAGATGTGTTTTGATCCTCACCAATCTAATTAAAATGATATCTTCGCATCAGTCCCTTTTACTGATATGTCGCATGGAAGATCTAACAACATGGTTTCGTCAATAACCCCCCCCCCCTGTTAAGTTGCAAGAAAAATAAATGTTTTTTCCTACCTATCTTCACAAATGTTTTGAAGCAGAATTTCAGAACATTGTTCGGCTAATAAATTGGTCTAGAAAAAAAAAAAAAAAAAAGCTGATAATTTCATATTTTATTTTCCAGTACATACTGAAGAAACCAAACGCAGTATCCTACAAGAGGTATTTATTTTATAATTCAGTAAATCCTTGACAATCAAGTAGAGCTGTCACAATACACTTTACCCACGATTCGATACGTATCTTGATATTTGCACCACGATTTCGATTATTTCGTTTCGATACGCCTTTATTTTAAAATATAAACAAAAGGAGATATTTAGCCGTTGATACACTGAAACCCGAAGTGTTTCCACACTTTTGATTTGAAGTTTGCCGGAGCATCACAAATTTTCATTTCCTTACCGTGGTCTGCCATTTTGTTGTATGAATGTTTTGTGAAAATTGCATCCTCGCAGCCGTTTGGCTGAAGGTTTAGAGATCAGCCAATGCAATTGAACGTCTCACAGACGTTTCGGCTGAAGCAACATATACTAATATTCAGATTGGTACGTATAGAAAATCCGGAAAATATATCATGAATCGAATCGAAATATAAATAATCGCAGTACAAGTGCATCATGGTGAATCATGACGCCTCTACAATCCAGCCTCCCTAATGAAACTTGCACAAATATCTAATATTCCTGCTAACTGAACCTTTTCAGTGACTGATAATCCAGCCTCCTGTTGATAATTTTACTCTTATTCTACAACTTTTATCCCTCTTGAAGTTGACACGCTAACCATTTGTCCATTTTGTGTTGTGTCATCCCGTGTAATGTTCTTGTGCTGGTTGGCCTTTAAGACTTCACATTTTGATACCAAATTGATAATCTTGACTCTGACAGAACTTTTATCCATATCTAATAATTGTACCATAATCAAACTAATTAATACCTTTTGTGCCTAATTTCTTGTACTCTCTTCTGTCATAGGAAAAACATTTTGAGGCCTTTTGAAGATGAAACACCACTTGTAAGTACAGCTATCGTAATAACCAGCGACAAATGAAAATCAAAACCATTTAAGTAGACCTTTACTGGTCAGCCTTTCATTCCCAAATATGTGAATTTTGTTTTGTCATGAATGTATATATTACACTACACACACTGCTAACTTTTGGCAAGATATTGCAACTGAAATATAAAATACTTAGGCCAGCTATTCCAGAAGTAAAAATACCTGTATGTGTAGAAAATGGGGAGGAGGGAGGCATTTTTCATATTTCCCCACATGATAATCTGAGGGAAACAGAGAATTTTGTTTCCCTACCATAGTAGCAATAACAGTTATTACACTGGAATAAAACGATAACAAAATGGTGAAGATGATCAGGCTTATGAACTCAGAATTCAGGTGTGGTTTCTCATGCTCAATTGTAACAGAGGTCCTTATTATTTCCATGTCTCCGCTAGGAATCAAACTCCTGACCTCTGGTTTACTAGTCTTCTACCAAATGAACTAAAGAGAAATTCTCCCTAGCTGAGTCAGTAGGAAGCAGCTAATAATTTACCAGGGTGACATTTTCCCCCTCCGGGAAAGAACTCGTCCTGAGTTTTCTTGGAGTTATAGCGTTCTTGTGAAAGCATCACAGAGAAGTATTCTTGCAAAAAAATCACTGGTATCTACGCAAAATATTCCCTGGTATCTACGTAAAATATTCCCTGGTATCTACGTAAAATATTCCCTGGTATCTAAGTAAAATATTCCCTGGTATCTACGCAAAATATTCCCTGGTATCTACGTAGACGTCAGTGTAACAGAGATCATTATTTTGCAATGGGAGTCGAACCTGGGACCTCTGGTTTAGTAGTCTTACGTTCTAGAAAATGAACTATAGAGACATTTTTCCAAGATGAGCCTGTAGGAATTCTAGAAAGATTTTTCGGAATAGGGATATATATACATGACCATGAGAGAAACACAATGTTTTACTTGCTCATCATGTGTTCAGTATAATCCAATCAGACACACTATTATATATAGATGAAGCATAATTTATTGTAAGTGCCTCCCTCCCTTGTCCATAAATGGCCCAAAATATTATGTACAGGTTTCACCATTCTAAGCCCAGTCTTTGTTTACTGGAGAATTTCACAATGTGAATTAACATCATGCGACACAATGTTAAATTGTAGCAATTTACTATTGTATTAAGTGAGTGTGAGAAAAACAGAATATTCAACACTATACCATGATGATTGATCATGATTTAAGTATACTTTCGTCAGTTTATTCTCTAGTGTATTTTGTACCCACTAAATTATTGTAGGTGTAGATCTCACTGGATCTGTAGAAGACGATTAGAAGTACCGTAAATTTGCGCGTATAGTGAACACTTTTTTGGCCAAATATTGTAAGAAGAAGGAAACACTTAAACATGATCAGGAATCAGGACAGATCTTTATAAGTCCTTAACAATCGTTCTTATGATTAAGGAAAAATGTAAGAATTACAATTTGCTTGTAGGGTTTTACACAGTTACCGGTACATTCTTTTTCAGGAATTTTTTGCAAAGAAGAGTGATGCAGCATTATTTGCCTTTGGTTGTCACTCCAAGAAGCGACCAGATAATTTAATTTTAGGTATGTTTGATCGAATTCTCCTTCTTATACATTTTTAAGCTGAAATTTTAATAAACGTGCGATGTCATTTTAACCTTCTTTTGCATATTTGTGGAATAATCACAATGATAACATCCATATGAATAAAAAAAATAAAAAATAGAAGAGGTTTTTTGTATCAAAAAATCTATTCAAGTCTCACGAAAATATGAGATTTAAGCATTTGTTGAACATTGATACACACAAAGCTTTGAATCAGACTCTTCAAATGTTTCTATCACACATTCACTGAACATCCGCTAGCGGACGCTGGATCTCATTTTCCCTTGTATAGATTTTTTGTTTTGTTTTACAGGACGAATGTTTGATTTCCATGTACTGGATATGTTTGAGCTGGGAATAGAGAAATTCAAGTCAATGTATGCAATGCAGGTGAGACAAATATTGCGTAACTAATAACAGCAATGGCCTAATTAATTAGATGGGGGACTTAAAAGTCCTGAAAATCTCCCCCACCCACCCACTCACTAGGATGAAATGTTTATATGTATACCCCCATAACAAAGTTAGGGGGTATACTGGAATCAGATTGTCTTTCCGTCCGTTTGTCTGTCCGTAGAAAATATTTGTCTGGACAACTCCTTCTAAGGTAAGGGACTGATGGGGAGGGAGTACAGGAAATCATGTTATCCAGTAAAGAACTTGTCCCAAGTTTTCTAGGGGTTATAGCATTCTTGTGAAAGCATCGCAGAGAAGTATTCTTGCAAATATTCCCTGGTATCTACATAGAATATTCCCTGGTATCTACGTAGAATATTCCCCGGTATCTACGTAGAATATTCCCTGGTATCTACGTAAAATATTCCCTGGTATCTACGTAGAATATTCCCTGGTATCTACGTAAAATATTCCCTGGTATATACGTAAAATATTCCCTGGTATCTACGTAAAATATTCCCTGGTATCTAAGTAGACGTCAGTGTAACAGAGATCATTATTTTGCAATGGGAGTCGAACCTGGAACCTCTGGTTTAGTAGTCTTACGCTCTAGTAAATGGGAGTAAGAGAAATTATCCTCTCCATGGCCGAGTCCGTAGTCATGTTATCAGGATTTGCCCCATAGACAGGCCCTAACCCTGCCTCCTGTTTATTACAAAAGATACCTCAGTATGTCACTGACTAAAATAAGTGTACAACTCAGTAGATCAAGAAATTATTAGTGGTGAGGTTCTATGGATTGGTTTGCAAAACATTGCGTGTAGTTAGCCTTTAGCTTACAGGTCTGGCTTATTTGGAAGCGCGGGGGGGGGGGGGGGTTAAAACTTTTGCATGATCTCTGTTCATGCTCAACAGTAGACATGTAGACAAAATCTAAAAAAGTGTTATTGATCTACACAAAGGAGAAAGTTTCTAAACTTATTTGTCTGAGACAATATGGGGTTATACATTCCCAATAAAAAAAACATTAATCCCAACTGGAAATAACAAAGTAAATGAAGTGTGCTTCTTTTTCTTGGCATAATGATTAAGATTGAGTTTTATTCCAATGGAAAGCATATTGGATTTTTAGAAATATTTCATTCTTTTAAGAAAAGAAAATTTATAAAATTTCAATGTTAAGTTCAAATAATAAATTACCTATACCTGTACCTAGCATCTACCCTACAAACCTGTGACCCAGCGGTGATTTTTTTTCCATATTTGGGCCACGACCAAAATAGCTAAACTCATTCACCCCTGAAGACACATTTGAACTCTTCCATTTCAAAGGTTGGAATAGTTTATTATGAAACCTCAGGGGTGAATGAGTTAAATAAGACATGGTTTTATATGTTGTTGTTTGAAGTCTAACCTGACTCAAAGAAGATTTTTGCAGATATGCCATTTAATCCAGTTGAGAATACGTTTAATTAAAAGGAATGTCTATGACAGGGTTGTGAATACAACTTGAATTTCTGTGTTATACAGGGAGCTAAGTGCAACATGGGCAGCAAGCCCTGTCTGTTATTTTGTGGGGAAGCTTTTGACCAGGACGCGGAGCACAAGAGGTTGAAGAATCTCTTTATAGGTAAGTCTCTTCATAGCTTACACTGGAGTCGAAAATCCTAAATTGTTTTGTTCAACGTTCATTCTTGTGTACTTAATTGATGACATATAACATCTTAATGTGAAATGTAATTTTAAATGTTGGAAAGGAAATTATTTTATGGCAGCAGATATGAAGTTTGTAGTAATCATAATCACAGTTCATATTAACACCCCACTCTTTCTCTATCCCGTCTTCGAAATTTGGTTCCTGTATATGTCTTGATAGATGCAAATTCCAAGTACCATTTCACTATCAGAAACAATTAAATTGCTGTATAAAATGTTGAATCAGGATAAAAGTGGATTTAGATTTCCATCTGAAAACAGCCAGCACAGTTTTACCGTTGATGTTGTGACACTTTCATTTTTGTTTTCAGATTTTTTCCGCGGCCCCGTAATAAGTCAGGTACGACTTGCTGGTCTAGAACATGTCATACAGATAACTTCTCTGGATGGCAAAATACTACTTCGGAACTACAAGTAAGTGCTAGCTATGAATCCATCTCTGTAACATTGCCTCCCTACTGTAGTGTGAATGGGGACGTACCTTTATCATAGTCAGGTGTACGATTTGTCAACTGATTGTCTTGTACGTAAGTAGTAAAATCAGGACTAGATCAGGATTCAAACCTGGGACCCTCTGAACTCTAGACTTGACGCTCTACCAATTGAGCTACCTTGTTGTCGACGATCGACCCAGTCAGGTCCCACTACATTCCTCCCATCCTTGTGCTAAGTCTTCACCCCCGAACACAAAACTATTTATAACCCATGCAGGTTCAGGTATCCCCTCGTCAAGTACTCACCTAGCACTTGAACGAAGGGTTGGTCACAGGCACCATTGTAACAGGAGAAGATAAATGCATGGCCAGTAGGGGAATCAAACCGAAAACCCTTCAAACTCTAGTCGAACGCTCTACCAATTGAGTACCTAGTCGCCACCGGTTAATGCAGTCCAGTTCCGCTAAACATATACCTATACAATCTGGTCTGTTGGCTTAGAAAAAGTTTAATTATAATCAGTATATCAACACATCCAGAATGAAATCATCTTTGTTCGAAATTAAGTAAATTAAAAAGAAAATGAGAAAAAGTGAAACGATGAAATGAGAAAGAAATTACATGTTGGTGAAATGAAGAAAGTAGATTTGCTTTTCATCTGCTAGATGAGTCATTTATCCGATAACTTGATAACAACTCTAGGATGAAAATATTTAAGAAAGTGAAAGTGATCCTGACGTGAATTTCCTTAATGCCATATTAGCAAGAACTCGAAATTGTGTCATGATATAACATTGTAAGTGGTACAAGTATCTAATTCAGTGAAAATAACCTACAACAAATACCTTAGTAATGACTTTGTACTCACCTCTGTACAGGATCATGATGAAGAAGTCTGGCAGTAAAACTCCCAGGGTAGAATTGGACGACATGGGCCCCTCAATCGACTTCGTCATACGCCGGACCAAACTTGCCTCCGACGACCTCTACAAGCGCTCGCTCAGACAACCAAAGACAGTTAAGGTGGGTTGATTGTCATAATAGGATAAAATAACTTCACTACTATTTTAACTCTTGTATTTATTTTTACTAGGAACAGAAAATGTAAAATAATAGGAGGCTTGGTAGTCTAGTGGTAAGATGCCGGGCTCGTGGCCGAAGGGTTGCGGGTTCGAGTCATGTCACGGCACTGTGTTGTATCTTTAAACAAGATACTTTACTCTGCTTGTTCCAGTCTACTCAGCTGTAAATGAGTATGTGGTTGGACAGTGCTGGAATTGCTGTGAGCTCCTCAGGGAGTTAAGAAAGATTTTGGATGGTTGCAAAGGCCATTGAACTACGGATAATAATTTGTGAACGGCTTTCAGACGACCTAGGTTGTGATCAAGTGGTACATAAGAACCTCAAAATATAATTATTTTTATCAAATATTCGTCAAAAATATCCAGAAATGTTTCATTCCATCATCAGTGACAAAGTATGGCACTGGGTGTGTGACAGGTATTTACATATTGGGGTCCTTACCCCCGATCAGGGTAATTGTTTCACACTCTCTTTAATGGTAATTAGCAGGCATTTACCGATAGATCAAGTGTTGAGTGAAGGCCTTTTCAGCAGTGACACAGCTTGTATCTCACTTGAGTCAGCTTTTTTATGCCCTCGAAACATTATTGAGTGAAATCAAATGTTTACCTATTCAACTATTGTACAGTCCAATAGTCATCTAATTACTTTACATGTGAGTTAATCGTCGGAGCTGCACCATTATATCAAATGTAGGTCAGTGTGACATCAGATTTAAAAGGTTCTCTCTCACATATTAACTAGCACAAGCTTATGACCAGAAACTGAACTCTTTTGTTAATGAACACTCTGGCCTTGTTAATCATGATGAGTGAGTACCGAAGCGAAATCAACCGTGGGTATCAAGGGTATCAACCGTGGATATCTGACGATGGGCCTTGTTATGAATTTACAACGTTTGCTTAATCTTTAAATTTTATTTTAAAATATCAAATGTAAGTTGTTACCTACAAAAGTAGATATGTTACGTTTATTGGGAGAAATTTGTTAATCTGGACATGTTCTCTTGGAACCGCATTCTCGATACTCTAGGGGTAACGCTCACTTTCGCTCTCTGCACACCTGGAATATGTCAGCAAAATTGAAGGCATGCAGCAAGCTATTTGATAGGTCTCAATTAAACAAAAATTCTTGACCAACCGCTAGGCTGATACCTGTCCTTTGAAGATTACAGAGGATCGACGCCCAACTTCAAAGCCAGTTAATTTTACCACTACACGGCCGACAGATGCTTTTGATGTATATCAAAGCATCAAACTATACTTCTTGTCTCATCCACACGGTGATGCACACGAAGCCTTCTAATTTGCTATGACATATACCAGGGGTGCAGAGAGCGAAAGTGGGCGTAATCTCTAGAGTATCGAGGATGTCGGAACCACAATATTAGGGATAATGAGGTTCAGCTGTACATGTATCACTTTTTAGGATTAGTACTTTGGGTCATCACATTTTCTTTTAAAATGTCATAAAATGTTCCATTTATCAGAATGTTGGTAAACTTGACTCTGGACAAGCTTCCACATTCTTTAGTAAAGTATTATTCAGTCTACCCAGTTAGTCAGATGGGTAGTGGTGTGTGAGGAAGAAATTATATGAGAGTGGCAGGGTATTTTCTGTCAACTCAACATGATACAAATAAGGGGGAAAACTCTTTTAGTCTTGACACAATATGTTGTAGGTTAACAATATTTGGATTTGTAACATTTTTTAACAGTTGCCAAATTTCCTGACAGTACTAAATTGATACAGAATGGGATCGTGATTGGCACTTTATCAAAATAAATTATTTCAATTCAATCTTTTTCTGTTGCAGCCAAGAAAAAGGAAGAACATTTCCCAAAATGCTTTTGGTTCCAAACTTGGCAGAATCCACATGGACAAACAGGACCTCGGGAAGTTACAAACACGCAAGATGAAGGGCCTGAAAAAGCGAAAGAGTGCCAAGTCAAAGGACAGTGTGACACAACCTAAAGTTGTGAAGGAAACGAACGGTCCGCCGAAAGCCAAACGAGCCAAAAAAACTGTGGAATGATAAATGTCGTCGTTTATTTATGAATAAGTGTGAAGTAAGAAATGACAAGAGGCTGTGTGGAAATGTCATCTGATTGTTTAGTGGTATTTATCCATTAACAAACATGGATATATCAGAACTGTGTTGGATGGGAATGGCCAGACTATATGAATTAGCCAAAGTATGCTTCATAATGTACAGCGAAAATGTTTTCGACATGGATCTCGTCATATTCGTGTCTCCGCATGGAAACGCACAGAATGGTTGTTTGACAATACAGTTATAAGCTACTCAACCAGGAATGTTGTTTCAAGCAAGCGAAGGAAGAATGAAAGACATAGAGAACAGATTATATGTTCATATTTCCATTTCCATGGCATTGTCCCTAGATAACTTACTTGCAATTGAAAGCTGTGTCATTGATAGGACTTTACATGACATGCATCACAAGACACAATTTTCAGCCAATCAGCACGCACCAACATTCCGTCGATAAGGCAGGAATTTAAAATTTTGTATATAACTTGTAAAAAGATTTTTTTCAAAGGTGGAGAAACGTAACAATAAACATTGAACTGTTTTTGTATGGCATCCCATTTTATGATCTATTTGAATGACACAGTTTTACATGCAAACCAATCATAATGTACTAGTGCACATTATGATGTTTGCTTGCAAAGTAGTGTCATTCAAATAGATCATAAAATACCATGCAAAAACCGTTCATTGCTTAAATGTATATAAACATCCCAAAGTACCAAAAATATTTGCAGGAACCACACAGCTCAATGTCCGATCAAACTTAATACGAGAATGGAATTCGGAATGATAAAACGTGGAGGTCTGTATTTATGAAACCGTCCTCATACTCGAGCATGAATTCTGTGCTCAAACTAAAAAAAAATGTACCTAACTCCAGTCATCGTAAAAAGAAGCAAAGTATGGTATGAACATTTCAAATAATATTTGGCTTGAAAACTCATCCCAATCACGGAAATATCATATGTGATTTTATATTTTATTATCACAGAAACAAGTAATTGGGCGTGGGCTTCAGCACAGAATCTGAGTTTGAGCATGAAAATGGTTTCACGAATACGGGCCTTGAACTTTTCTTAATGTTCTCAATTCTCAAAATCAGTTCAGGGACTATATTAAATCTCAAACACTCCTTGAAAAATAATTGAATAATAGCAGGTAGAAGCAAGTCATTAAAGAGAATCCACTGTTGTATGTGTGTTATAAACAGGGTGTGTGTTGAAAGTGTGTACTAAAATTGGAGTGTTCTGTATGTGTGTTATAAACAGGGTGTGTGTTGAAAGTGTGTACTAAAATTGGAGTGTTCTGTATGTGTGAGGGTGTTTGTGGAAGACAATTTAACCTCGGAAATCTAGAGGTTTCGGGAAAGAAATTGATCCAATTTTTGAGGGTTATTTTCTGAATTGCTGCAGTAAGAGATTTTATTACAGACAAACCTGTTTAACTGGAACTCTGTAAAAGTCTAAAACCATGTTTGACAGTTTATTCTGTTACAACTGTCATAATCCTCATTGTTTTCCGTACTACAACTCAGACTGGCTATACGTTCTCCATGATTTTCACCAATACTTTCTCCTTTTATATGGACTTAAGCAAGTCTACAGTCTCTTGACTATAAGATTTACTAGAACTACTCAAATACATAGACCAGAAATAAAATGGTCTTATAGACAAAAGGCCAGGTTACCAAAACAATAACAGTCTCTCTCTTTTTCATTATCCAAACACATTTGGGTTGAGACGTTTTCAGAAATATTTGGTAAACATTTGCATACTCAGAGGTGTCAGTCCATATGAAACGGTGCCCCATGCCTTGTATGTGCGATGTAGAAGAAAGTGTTGGCGGTGGAGAAAGGGGGGGGGGGGTTACTACCTTAAGGTGTGAGCATTATGTGAAGTCTCACTGACACCCATGTGTTATACATTTGGTTGTTAATTGAAATAAAAGGAAATAAATGTATTATGTTACTACATGAACCAGTCTATGGACTTTGTTGGTTTTTTACTTCAAATGTATATTTCATGTATAACTCATTCACACCTGAAATTTTACAATGAACTTTTCCAACCTTTGAATTGGAAGAGTTCAAATGCATCTTCACGGGTGAATGAGTTGAGGGTTTCCCTTTATGTACCATTTATAAAATGTACTGTGTCACCACTGTAACAGAATGCAGTTAATTTTCATGAGTGCATGGACTGTTACCCAAACATCTTTCCATTGTCCTTCCTTAAATCATCTTGGTGTCTCTATTTCTCAAGTATTTCTCAAGAAATAATGTACAGATCTGTTTTCAGATTTCATTTGTAGGTTCCCTGTGATCCATAATTGTACATGGAACATTCAAAAGTTGATTGGAAGAACAAAATGGCTACCAGTTGTCCATCCAGGATTTTGACAATTTATTGACCTTTTTCTCAAAATTAAAGCACTTTACAGATCTTTCTAAAATTTCATACAGTATAACTGTTGCCTTTGGTCCTTTGTTTTGGTAATAAGTCTCCCCAACAGTTATGATAGGTGGGAAAAGGCTCTAACCAATTGAGTTTATTGAGTATAAAACCCTAAAAAGGCTATCTGACTGAACATTGAGGAAGATAAAATTGTTCTGACACCTAATTAAAACACTGTTTTTTCTTTATGTCAATATGACTCTTGGTGGGATAAAAAAAACGCACCATATAGCTGGATTTTGGAGATCTGTCTGGGAACCATTAAATCGATTTGAACTGTTCAATCAGATATGGACAATCTAACATACTGTTAACACTTATAAAGGAACAAATGATCTAAATACAGTCTACTTTTTAAAAGAGGTAGTAAATTGAAATAATCACAGATTTTTTACAGTTGTTATAATTTAGAAATTACTAGAGATATAGTTACTGCAGGCATACAACCAGATAATAAGGGACAAGCTATTTTAGTTCATTTTTTTCTTTTTAGATTTTTGAGATATTTACTCTTTATTTTTAAATAGATACATTAAATTCTATTATTGTTTTCGATTTCAGAGATGATGAGTTCAATAACATGCATTAAACAGATTTATAAAATATGTATTGATTTATTCTAAAAAAAAAAATCACTTAGTTTATATTCAAACAATAGAATTATAATCTCTGAGTTAACAAGAGATCCTAGAAGGATCTTGGCACCCACCATGGAAGGATCTTTATCAGATCTACAAAGGATGATATTTTACCTTTGTTGCCCTTCTTTTTTCCCTTTTAGGCACTCACCCTGTCCCACGTGGGAAATCCTTAAAGTGAATCTAGTACATTAACTTAGACATCGTAATGTCATGATATTTGCCAATATGACAAATGTTATTTTATAGGAATTGAAAACTATATTCTAAAAGCTAAAAAATTGTAATTCTTACATAGTTAAAGTGCTGTTAATGACGAATGAATATTCATAAGGGCAGGGATAATTTTAACAAAGGGAACATACATATAAAATAGTGATAACAAAATTGAACTGTCAAAATTCAAGATGGCTGTCTGGTGTCCATCTTGGTTTTCCTATATGTCTCTCACGTACTTTCTGGGAAATAGTGCAAACAAACTTTAACTCTTAAAATGAAGAGCCTCAATGTGAAATTTGAAAACGATCCCTTTAGTACTTTATTAGAAATAGCGCCAACAAGAATTGTTCTCTTGAAAAGACGAACCACGGGCGGACGGTAATTTGAATAGCCCACCGTCTGATGATGGTGGGCTAAAAATTATGACATGGATATATAAAACCAGCTCACAAACGGCTGGTTTCAAAAGAGACGTGAGGACACGACTGTTTTAAATATTTGTGAAAAAGAAGCATTACTTATGAAGGTAAATAGTATACCAGAACGTCATCACAGGAGCAAAACGATGGGATTCTATGTTCATAGTTGACTCGCGGAAGGCAAAACTGGACTCCCCACCTCCAATCCCCCTTTCGAGCAAGGCAAAATATGACAACCAAAATCAAAACAAAAGTAAAGCAGGTCCCTAGACCTGAACTTGTTCAAAAGATGAATCTCAGAGATGTAACAATTTTAGCAAAATTAATTGCACTGCATCATACAGCTGCTTCACCTTCTAGGACTTATCAGGAATGCAGGTGGTTAAAACGGTGGAATTCAAAGTCAAATTATGTGTTCAAGTTCAATTCCCAATTCAATTGACAAAGAATAATTTTTAGATACATTAAGGGTGACTATATTATATAAAATATCTTCTTTTAGAGACTGTTTTTGGGTTTAACATCCTCACATCAGCTAGGTTTATGTTTAGACGGTTTTTTTAGAGACCTATACCCGAATTTCAGGGAACCGTTCTCATACTCAAACATGGATTCTGTGCTCAAACCAACTTTCTTGCAACTCGCTTAAATCATGTGACACGAAAAAAAACGTCAAGTGTAAATGTTGATAACGATCTTCAGTTGGGAAAATGCGGAGTTTTATTTATTTATCATCGGAACAAGAAATTGGACTTGGGCACAGAATTTGAGTTTAAGCATGAGAACGGTTTCGTTAATACGGCCCCAGGAACCGTACTCGTGACCAAGCATGGATTTTATGCTCAACCCAACTTTCTTGTAACTCAGTTAAATCGTGCGACTCGGTCAGATATAGTCAAGTGCGAACATTTCAAACAGAATACAGCACGAAATCTTCCAAAAATGTTGACAAAATGTTGTTTTTTCATTATCAATCACAGGAACAATAAATTGGGCTTTAACACAGAGTTTGAGTTTGAGTATGAGAACGATTTGATTTCATGAATAATGATCCAGGAATGGTACTCTTGCTAAAGCATATGGGTTTTGTGCTCAAGCAAACTCCCTGAAAACGGGAATCGGCTTTTTGTCTATCCAATAGTATTCGAGGATGATTGACAAAATGTGAACAGTTCAGAAATTGTGCTTTGCACAGAATCTAAGTTTGAGTATGAGAACGATTTCATGAAGAGAGGCCAGGGCCTGTATACATGAAACAGTTCTCATCCTCAAACATGGCTTTTTCGCTCAAGTCTAATTTCTTGTTGCGGATATAACTTAATAAAAAAATCTTATTTTGTCAATGGTTTGAAAGAAACTTTGAAGAGACTTAAAGCTGAATAATGTTTTCAATGTTTTCATTTGACTATTTGATCGTTTGACATGGTTTAAGTGAGATACAAGAAAGTTGGTTTGAGCACAAAATCCATGCTTGAGCATGAGAACGGTTTCATGAAAACGGGCCCATGTGGTGGCCCCTAGTCATGAAACTTTTCTCAATCTCAAGCATATAGGTTCTTAGCCTAATCCAGCTTCTTTCAACTCAATTAAATCGTGACACGGCCAAAATTGTCGAGTTTCAACACCGAAAAATGTATTCCGTTTAAATCTCTCCAAAAGTCTTCCAAATTACTGACAAAATGTGACATATTAATCACCGGAGCAAGAAACAAAACAGGAATTGGACACATGTTCTGAGTTTTGGCGTAAGAGTGGTTTCGTGAA